ACACAAAGTCGTCACCAATAGAATTCCTATTAAAGTGAGACATTCACATAGATGGCAGCAAATTAATCGTTGAAATTTTAATAACAGTCAAAATAATGAAATATTTCCTTTAATTTATTGTTTTGATTGGGCAGGAAATGAATTCATTTCTTCAAGGGACCAAAACAAAAGGAACTGTGTTTAGAACTTTTAAAAATATGTCAGTTTTATTTCGTAATTCCCGCCCATAAGGTTGCAGTCGAAAAATATGTTTTTCTTATAGCTACTTAGTGGAAGGAAAGCTAGGTTCTCCATCAAGTCCATAAAATATTTAATTTTAGTAAAGTAACTACAATTTTAAAATGATGTGAGGAATTCTATAATTCAAGTTTTCTTACATTTTTTGTCTGACGATGCCTTAATAAAGTGTAATTTTTTTAAAACAATTTCTCCATACACACTTGAAATACAAAATATTTCATTTTCTCCTAATTATTTATTGGAATTCACTGGCTTTCAAAAGCCCAATTGAAATGCCCACTTTATTTAAAAAATAACATCGAGATAACCTGTTTTTCCAAATTTAAAGGAGATAGGTATTCACAGTTAACTTTAGAACATTTCTTTTATAAATATACAACCGACCCTTAAGAGCTTAGACTTGTAACACTGTTGGTGAAATAGAAAACACTTTAGGTTTTATAACAAAAAAATATAGAAATATAAAATACCATATTAATAATAACGTTGAAAACTGTAAATTAACTGTTGTTTAATAACAGTGTTTTTAGCCTCTTAAGCCTGTCTTACTTTTAAAAGTTTTTGTCAACTTAATTATCTGGCTGCTAGTTGACTTTGTGTTAGTCTAAAAATCAGTTTCTCTAGGTGAGTATTTATAAAACATCTCCTTTTCAATTTTAATAATTCCAACTTTAGAAATATACAATAATTCATCATTAATGTTATTTTTATTAAACTAAAGTTTATTGAAATTATAAAAATTATCATTGCAAAGCTCACGACTTGCCAATTTTTTTACTCAACTTAATTATTAGGTTTACATATTTATGCTACGTTTGATGTTTGAATATCCACATCCGATGCATTTTTTACATCTCGAGCATTTATTTATCCACATCGGACACATATTGTGTGTCCTAGAACAGAAGTAAAAGTTGGAAATGCTTTTGCCAGTTCTCCCACTTTATACACTTAAATTGACAGGTTGGCAGCGGAACTCACCGAAAGACCGAAGTGGACGCGATACATTGGCGTACAAAATTATTTTATAGATGTTAAAAACAATTTCGAGTAAATAGTTTAATAAATTGTGAATAGCTGTTGAAATTTTGTAAAAATATAATTTGAATATTACAATACATGTTTAATAATTATTTATAATCCATAAATACATGCGATTGTCCGGTTCCGCCGATAACAATTTAAAATAACTTATTCTATGAAACGACACTGGCAGGTTAACATTATTGTGACATTCTCGGAGCCGCCCGACGTGGTTTGACGTTTACCCCCTCTCTACCTACCAAAAGACTTTTCAACTTTTACTTTCTCTATACTAGATTTACATATATTGAATCACGTGATCAAAGATTTACAACATCTCGGATGCATCCGATGTGGCTGTTCAAACGCAGCATTTATTTGCTCTCTATAATAAAATTTCTCTTGCTTTGACTATGCCCAACTAAGGGGCCTATTCAGTAACTCTGAACGACGTCGTTAATAGACGATAATCGTTCACAGACGACTTTTCTTATTCAGTAGACAACGATTGTCGTTGAAAATAGATAAACATGGTTGTAAAATTGTCGTTCATAAACGATAGCCAAAGAGCTGTCGTTAATAATATGAAGTGTCGTTATAGTGATTTTTGCATTCCCTCTCATTTTTTATTGTGAATCAGGATATGTTCTAAATAATAAAAACACTTTTTTACAAATTTTACAACTAAATTGCCATATACCTAATACAGCAAGTAAAATTTGTAAGGAATTTTTTTCTAATTTATTTTATTATTTTAAAAATAAATCTGATTCAAAGTTAGGATTGCCCATTCAATCATTTACTATTGGATTCTTATTAACAGTGATGTTCCTAAAGTAGCACTGCGAAACTGTAACAAAACCTATATTATGGAAGTACCTATAATACTTTTCCGTAACCTACACAAATTTGGTTTGTTTTTCAAATCCAATAAATACAACTTGTACTGTTCTCGAGTTGTTTTTTGTTTTTTTTTAATATATCCATACTCATTTAAATAAACCCTACCTACATACAATATGACCAGCAAAAATGGCCCGCGAGAAACAGAATTCCTACGAATCGAGAATCGCGACCCCCTGATCGTGTGGTGGAATTTTAATTTTACGTTCAAAAAAAATGTCAAATATACCGGGTGTTCAAATTAAAGGGTTACAGTTAAATACCGCCTTTTATAAAAAAATCAAAGTTTAATAATTTTTTGGGTAAAACATTTTAGCTAAAATTGTTTTTTTATAGCAAACCATAATATGGCCAACTTTTTTTCGCGCAGCAAAATTTTCAAGTAGATGTTACTCAATAAGTAGAAATCCAATAAAAAATGTTTCCTTTAGAAGTTTCTTGTTTTTTTCATGAACTCTAAGAATACCTACCTATGTAAAAAAATAGGGTTCCAATTTGAAAAAAAAATCCACCTCGATATGACCATATTATGGTCAGCTATAAAAAAAATAATTTAGCCAAAATGTTTCCCCTAAAAAACTATAAAACTTTTGTCTGATGCTTTTTTTTTATAAAATGCATATTTTTGGCGAAACTTTAATTTAAACGCCCGCTATAATCATCAACATACGTTCTTTTATCACAAGGGCCCTATTCAGTAATTTATCGTTTATGGACGACATCGTTAAGCTAACGACAGTTCAACCAACGACTTTTATAACGATAATTTTTGAAACTCTATTCAATAACAAAGTCGTTACGTTGTTTCTAGTTACCAAATCTGAACGATGATTTCTAGTAAGTTGGTATTATAATTTAGTGTTTTGTGATAAAAGAACGTATGTTGATGATTATAGCGGGCGTTTAAATTAAAGTTTTATCGCCAAAAATATGCATTTTATAAAAAAAAAGCATCAGACAAAAGTTTTATAGTTTTTTAGGGGAAACATTTTGGCTAAATTATTTTTTTTATAGCTGACCATAATATGGCCATATCGAGGTGGATTTTTTTCAAATTGGAACCCTATTTTTTTACATAGGTATTCTTAGAGTTCATGAAAAAACAAGAAACTTCTAAAGGAAACATTTTTTATTGGATTTCTACTTATTGAGTAACATCTACTTGAAAATTTTGCTGCGCGAAAAAAGTTGGCCATATTATGGTTTGCCTAAAATGTTTTACCCAAAAAATTATTAAACTTTGATTTTTTTATAAAAGGCGGTATTTAACTGTAACCCTTTAATTTGAACACCCGGTATATTTGACATTTTTTTTGAACGTAAAATAAAAATTCTACCACACGATCAGGGGGTCGATTCTCGATTCGTAGGAATTCTGTTTCTCGCGGGCCATTTTTGCTGGTCATATTGTATGTAGGGTTTATTTAAATGAGTATGGATATATTAAAAAAAACAAAAAACAACTCGAGAACAGTACAAGTTGTATTTATTGGATTTGAAAAACAAACCAAATTTGTGTAGGTTACGGAGAAGTATTATAGGTACTTCCATAATATAGGTTTTGTTACAGTTTCGCAGTGCTACTTTAGGAACATCACTGTTAATAAGAATCCAATAGTAAATGATTGAATGGGCAATCCTAACTTTGAATCAGATTTATTTTTAAAATAATTAAATAAATTAGAAAAAAATTCCTTACAAATTTTACTTGCTGTATTAGGTATATGGCAATTTAGTTGTAAAATTTGTAAAAAAGTGTTTTTATTATTTAGAACATATCCTGATTCACAATAAAAAATGAGAGGGAATGCAAAAATCACTATAACGACACTTCATATTATTAACGACAGCTCTTTGGCTATCGTTGATGAACGACAATTTTACAACCATGTTTGTCTATTTTCAACGACAATCGTTGTCTACTGAATAAGAAAAGTCGTCTGTGAACGATTATCGTCTATTAACGACGTCGTTCAGAGTTACTGAATAGGCCCCTAAATTTGTGAGTTATTGATTGAAAGGTCAATAAATTTGTCTTTTACATGGAAATTATATATTTATTTAATGTACAACACAATTTTTAACCAAGAATTTAATCTGGTCATCTTTTCCTCAAAGAAGGACCAATGCGAGCTCTACCTTAAATTCATGAATATAAAAAAAGGACCCGGAAAATAAAAACTGGTAGGCAGTGTTATATGTTATAACTAAAAGAAAAATAATTACTATATTACATTATTTTGGTCGATAGCGATACAATTCTTAAATATGATATAAAATTGTAAAAATATTTATCAATAATTATGGAAAATAACGAAAAAATTGGTACCTACATTAGAAAACTATTCAAAAAAATAGTATTACCACCTATGTATTATTTTTTGCTAATAAATATTTTGCTTTTATTTTTACGACAATTGTTTATTGGAATTAATGTTATTTTTTATGTTAAATTTAGTTTATTTATAATTTGTCATCTTTTTTGTCCAAAATCATAATTTTTTTGTTTTATGTACTCCTTTTGTAAAAGTACATCTTCGCCCTACACAAATTTAAAGTTATTAAGATAAAATAACATTTTCTTAACACCCTCTGTATTTTCGCTATTTTTGAGTTTTCTAAAAAATGCTATATAAACTTTAGTATTAATATTTTCTATTAGAATCAATGCTTAAATTTTTTGCTCATCATTTCCGAACACCCTGTATATTTAAGTTCAATTTTCTCTACTTTTCAGTCTTCCAGGCATAATCCGCCTCGGTCCGAACGCAGTCATTAATTATATTGGAACGCACTGCTGATATTCACGTGTCAATTGTCAACAAGCCCGCAACTGTCAAAAAGCTTTATCTTTCTCAAACGCCAGTTCGCGAGTTGCATTTTATGTTTGTTGGTATCTAGTAAAATGTTAGCTAGTTCTGATTTTGAATGTTTTCAAATGGAATTAGTGTATATGCTGGATAAGTCCAATCCGAATTTACTAAATTAAAGTCTACCCAAGTTAATAAAATATATTCCATTGATTATAAAGGTAACAATCATTAACATTCTTCTTCTGTAAACGCATCTACATTGTATTTTATTTTAGCTTTGGAATTTAGAAAATACCCCACATCAAACAGATTAATCAGATTTTAAGTATCTCATTTCAATCACCGACATTCATAGGAAACGACACCGTTTTGGTTTTCATTCAAAAAATTACTAATTTACCCAATTAAATTCTTGGGTTGAGATCCATGTTCAGTCTCTCAGTAACATCAAGAATCCAAGAATCTACTGAAAGAACTTGGAACTGCGTTTTACAACTTTTCCAGTTAATTTGGGATACAGTTTATAACATCAGCCATCCAATAATGCCTAAAACCAGAAAAAGACACCATTCCCATTCTAAAAGTAGATCTAGGTCAAATTCAACAAATAGAAACCACGGAAAACGAAGAAGAAACGATTCTCATGATAAGGACAAGAAAAAGTTAGAGTCAACAACATATGAAAGTCCTCCATATAAAAGATCTGTAAGTAGCCAGAGAGCACATAGATCTCGCCAATATGAAAGGGGGTCAAGTGCAGATAGAAGATATAAACGTAGCCATAAAAGATCTCCTACGTCAAAAAAGAATAGGCGCTATCATGAAGGAACTTCCTCTAAAAAGAAACATGCAAGCAGGAAGAAAACTCCTCATACTGCTGATGATCAAAAATCTAACCGTATCCTTACTGCTCAGGATGATGATGAAGGCCATCTTGTTTATAATCCAGGAGATGTTCTGCAGGACAGATATAAAATCTTAGGAACTCTTGGTGAAGGTACGTTTGGAAAAGTAGTAAAAGTTCGAGATTTAGAAATGGATCATATTATGGCACTAAAAATAATAAAAAATGTAGAAAAATACAGGGAAGCTGCCAAATTGGAAATCAATGTTCTTGAAAAACTAGCTGATAAAGATCCCGATTGTATACACCTATGTGTGAAAATGTTAGACTGGTTTGACTATCATGGGCACATGTGTATTGCATTTGAAATGTTGGGTTTAAGTGTTTTTGATTTTCTAAAAGAAAATAGTTACCAACCATATCCTCTTGACCAAGTAAGACACATTAGCTACCAACTATGCTATTCTGTTAAATTTTTACATGATAACAAATTAACACACACTGATTTGAAACCGGAAAACATATTATTTGTTGACTCTGAATATGAAGTATTATTTCACAATAAAAAGAAAAAAGATGTAAGGAAAGTAAAAAGGACTGATGTTAGACTGATTGATTTTGGCAGTGCTACCTTTGACCATGAACATCACAGTACAATTGTATCAACTCGCCACTACAGAGCCCCTGAAGTCATTCTAGAATTAGGCTGGAACCAGTCTTGTGATGTTTGGTCTATAGGTTGTATTTTATTTGAATTGTACCTGGGAATAACACTATTCCAAACACATGATAATAGAGAACATCTGGCAATGATGCAAAGGATTCTAGGTGAGATACCTGTGAGAATGGCCCGAAAAACCAAAACAAAGTACTTTTACAGAGGAAAATTGGAGTGGGATGAAAAAAGTTCAGCTGGAAGATATGTACGGGACAACTGCAAACCTTTGATAAAATACAGGCAACTGGATGATGAAGACCATAATGCATTATTTGATTTGATCACACAAATGCTCAAATATGAACCATTGGAAAGAATTACCCTGAAGGATGCTTTGACCCATCCATTTTTCAACAAAATTCAACCTCATCAACATCTCTCAGATATTTCAGAAGTTACAACAAAAACGGTCCAGAAGTTACCTAGATGAAATTTGATGTGACCCCTTTCATTTTTAGTTAATATATTTTTTGTCATTCTGGAATTTGCGGTTTTAATAGATTTAAAAATAATATTCATAATTTTTTTGGCATTTATTTCATCATCACTATGAGGTTGTCATTTTTGTTATGCAAACTATTTTATCTGTGATAACTCTTTCGGAATGATTCAACTTATAATAAGTATATTTTAATTCTGACTATGTGAATCATCGTTTTGTTTTAATGGGTTATTGGACCATTGAATTGAATTAAAATTTTTGTGATGTGTTTCATGTTAGCTACAATTTTTTTAATAAAGTGAATATTGTATCTGATGATATTCATTCCTAGTAATTACACCCTTTGTCAAGAGGATATTTTAAAAATATTCAATTCTTGATTTGTATTCAAAAACAATAACTTCTTTAAATTTTAGAAATAAAATTGCATAATTTTATTTCTCAGATTTAACGTTTAATTGAATATGCTGTTGAATAAAATTAAGCAACAATGGCATATTGTTGTTAATTTTGTCTAGGGGTCTACTTTGAATACTTATTTAAATCAAAATTTGGTTTTCACTTTCCTCTAGATACTTTTGTACATATTGCTTAAAATTAGAGATAAACTACATAAATTGCCTATGTAAATTAATTTCAAAATCTTATGTTTTAAATATATTAACTTGTAAAAACCATTTTAAACACTGTATTATATATAATCCAAATTTCAATAATTTATTTAAACAATGTATGTAAAATATATTCGAAATTTATCACTTGAAAAATTTTTTGTATTATTACTGATGACTTTGAAGTTCTGTACTGATGTTTTAGTAAAATAAAATGTTTAAAAAATACTTTTATTACATGTCATAATTCAAGAACCACAAAATGCATTTGTAAAAACATTTGACTGAATATTAATATTTTTTCTGGTTAATTATTTAACTATGATAAAGTGATAGAAATAACTCAAGTCCTCTGACAAAAAAGTATTGAATTATTGTTACAATTTGCACGTGTCTTATTTCAGTTGAGCTTTGTTGTTGCTTAGCAGCATAAACGTTATTAAGGTGTGTTTACACGAATACAAGAAGTCACTTTGAAAAAATTATGATTACATTTTGTCTACAAATACTAGAACAATTTACTTTGGTACTTTATAAATGAATTTCCCAGCTGAACATTGGTTTTTAGTTTCTAAAGTTAATCCAAAACAGGTGCAAATTCTTTGTCAAAAAAATATAACAAGAGGCACAGAAAATATTTATTGGATAACTCATTTAAATTTTTTTAACACTTTCGCTCTCCATGACGTTTTGTAACGTCATTTGAAGATGTATGCTTCGATGAATGTAGACAAGTCGCTATGCAGCAAATTGTCTTTATATCCCCGTAAGCATGTAAAAACGTTCTTAAATTAGTGCCTTATAAATTTGGTTTTAATATTATGTTTGTGAATTTAATATAGCAAGGCTTTAACAGGTTCTAATTAAATGATGTTCCTAATTGCTCGATATTTCAATTTGTGGCATAGATATGCAAACAAATCTTTAATAAAAGTTCTGTGGATCTGAAAAACAAAAATATTTTTGGATATACAGTGTGTTACGCTTTTGCTTGGAAAGTAAAAATATATATTTGTTAAATGGAACACCGTATTTTATCCTAGTTTTCTTAAAGAATATTAAACCCTAGAATATTTTTAAAAAAGTATTGCAGAGTTGCCAAGCGATTAATTTCATTTTACCCAATTTGAATACAACACCCTTTATATTATTTTAGTACTAAAGTCATTATAAATTTACTTGTCTAACGATACCATTATGTCAACCTATTATACGTATACAGTGCGTAATTGATCCATAGTAATTTTTAAGTTGTACGATCATATTTTAAAACTATTCTCAAGTATATAGAAAAGTTCATGAATAAGTGGTGGAAAAACTTTTTCAAAATAAAACCCCCATGTATAACAAATTTATTTGTTTTCACATCGTCAAACAATTTTAATAGACTTAACGTTTCTAAAAATGTTTTGACTTTCCGTTCATTTGCTACGTTGTATATAAAGTGTGTCAAAACGCAAGATAACGATTTTTTTATTTTTTTGTTTCAAATGAAATGCCCTGTATGTTACACCACATATTTAAATAACTAATAATTTAGTTTCTTTACTTTTTATTGTGATATTTTTGAGCCTGAACCGATTTTTAAATTTTATTTTCAATGGTTCATATTACTTGTAACGTCGAAGGAATAGAAAACCATTCATTAATTCTGACAAATGGGTTACCAAAAATTTAAATTAACATTTTACCCTAAATAAGTAAATTTTTTTAAAAGCCAATTAGAAAAATGCGAAAAAATTATGTCAATTTTCATGATTAAACGATCAAAATATTGAGAAAAAATTCGTTTGGAAATAGAATGCCAAACAAAATAAAAAAAGTACAGAAATTAACTCATAAATTGGTGATATAACACACAGAGTATATTTGAAAAATTTGAGAATATTGTAACCACAAGTTTAGACACACCCTGCATGCACCACGGTATTTTTAGGAACGTTTAGTCTATTAAAATTAAAAAACGATGTGAAAACAACCAAATCTGTAAGGTGTAACTACCTACAGGGTGTATTTACCATGTATATTTACGAATAATTGTAAAATATGGTCTTACAACTTTTATATTAAACATTTCTTCATATCTCCAATAATAAAATATCTACCGATCAATTACCCACTGATGGGACACCCTGTGTATGTATAATTAAAACACACTATATAAAATGAACCAATTCTTTCATCACAGTTTTGTCCGTATAAGTTGAAAAATATTCTTGTGATGAATACAGTATTACACTCTAAAACTGAAATAAAATACAGGGTATTCCATTTAAAAACATGTTTTTACATCCTGTATATGTCTATATAATACAAATTGAAATATCAAGCAATTATGCACTAATGGGACAGCCTGTATAGAACTACGACGAGAGTTTGTCTTTTTTCATCCTTTCAGACTTATTTTTAAACTACTCTTGTTTTTGACTCCCCGCCTTGAATGGTCCAGCCTTCCCTACAAGATTTTGACATGGTGGCTAAGCTTCATTGGCTAATTTTACCATTTGGATACCCTACTACTTCTTTCGATTTATTAATTCCTCATTTATTCCACTCCCTAGATAGGCTTCCGAGAACTTATAAGTCTCGGGTCAACCATTCATGAAGTGCTTGACTACTTTGATCGATAAATGAATTTATAGGTACACCGCCGTCAGCCAGCGGCCCGGTAATATATACTTATTTGATATCCTATAGAGGTCTATCTTTTCTCTTCTGGTCTTAACTTGTGTCCGTATTTATAATCACCCTGTATATATAATAGCTATTTTCCGGAATACATTTTTAGATTTTCACTGTTTTAATGAACGTCCAAACTTCTTAAATGTTCGTATACCGATGGGCCAGGCGTGTAGTTGGCATTAAAGCTTGGGCAGCGAAAGCGTTAATCAATATAATTTTCTTCACAACTGGACTCTGATTCATACTCATCACTACTTGCTGTTGTCCCTAAATTAATAATAACTGGTCCTAGATTAGAAACATGCAGTTGCTCATATTTATCCCAATGGGAAACAATTATGACTTCAGTGTGTCTTACACAATTGTCCCACTGAGTATCAGTAACATTATTCAAACCTTTTGACCTAAGTCTGAAATACAACTTCCGGTGAAGACTTTGTTGTTAAAGATTTTTCATCACAAAAGCGTTTGCACTGTGACCACATCATCTCTATCGCATTGTACTGGCAGTGATATGGAGGAGTTCTTAATAATTTATGCCCATATTCCTCAACATATCTATCTAGGTGGAATTCTTTTCTGTCGCTTTCTTTGATATATACCCACGTCTCATCCATAAATACAGGCTTAAAGTTACCCAGCTCTATCTCCTTGTGAAAACTTTTCAAAAACGACATTTTCATTAACTGAATCGAAGTTCATTCCAATAAAACCTGTGTGTTAGTTACTTCTTTTAACACGTTGCATGCTAAAAGCCTAGTGATATGCTATTGATAGGTCCTGAAGAATATTTTCTGTCATAACTGTGATTGATCTCTCGTTGGCAGAATACATTTGGAAATATTTTGGCAAATTTTGTCTTTTTTAACTCGTGACGCTTATAAGCGTCATCAGCACTGGATCATTAAGGTTTCTTTTATATCTAAGTGACGCACTTGTGCGTATTTAATTTTTAAATTGCAGAAAGTAATTATTGTCAAAAGAAAAAATTACTGGAAATTTGAATAGAAAACTTTATTACTAAGAATATAATAATTACAAGTTCTAATCATTATGGAATTGTACAAAATTATTTCCAACACAAAGGCCAGGTTTTTCAGGACACACGCTGTGTTCAAATATGGTGTCTCTTTTTAAATTATTCTTTGAACATCTTTTTCTCTTTATCCGACGTCTATTAACATTTAAAACTTTTGAAATGTTGTGTTTGTCTGAAGTTTGGTGTTGTAGTTTGTTTTTTGAAGTAATGTTTCAGGGTTTTGTAAAAGATGTCTGAAAATTTCTAAACGATATATATTCATATAAATTCATTTTTCTACCAGTGTATGGAGTATACCTTTTATATAAGAATCTAATAACAAAACTTGAAATATGTGAATACCTATTTTGTATACCATCTCATTGTCTTTTGTTGATATGGATAGTAAGCGAGCATTTGATCTTTGCGATCAACAACCCTCATAAACTCATTATTTTCTTTTGTTTTCAGTTTCGATCAGATCATTTTTAAATTGCGTAGATATGTACAATGTACATAACTTCTCGTTTATCTCTCCACTTTCCTACTAAAATGCCATCTTTGTATTGACCTACTATCTGTCCTTTTGTACTTGAAGAAAAGGTTTCTGAAAACTGCTTGATAAATGGGGGTAACTGTTAGTTCCCTCTTCAAACTTTTCCAAAAAGTTAACTTTTATATGCAAGGGTAATTATGCCAAACAGAAGATATAGGTTTCTTAAAAACTAACATGTGCGTCATCAGTATTTGACAGCAGCGATATTCTGATGACGCTCATAGGCGTGACTAGCATGCAACGTTTTAAAGCGAAAGCCAATTTTTCGATGTATTAATTGGCCATGCAGAACATTTCACATCAGGTATTTCTTTCGAAAATCGTTTATGTGACGATTTCATTGTTACATGTTGCGCACTTTCGTACACCTTATATATAACCTACCCCAACTTACTTAATATTAAAGAATTGACTTTAGTTTTCCTTTGGCTTACTTTTTTAGACATTATTTTCACATACTCTGTATCAGAATTTGTTGGTTCTACTAAGTCTATACCCAGACAACACACCAATTCCCAGAGATATCCACAGAATATCTTTTGTGGATATCCAATATATCCACAGGATATCAGAAATATTCCGTGGATCTAATATGGATATCCAAATTTCCGTCTATATCCAGAATATAGAAGATATCCTAATGGATATCCAGCAAAATATCTAATGGGTATCTTCCAGACAATACAAGAAATCCCAGAGATATCCACAGAATATATTTTGTGAATATTCAATATATCCAATATGGATATCCAACCAATTGTCCGTCTATATCCCAGGATATAGAAGATATTCGGATATTCAGCAAAATATTGTAATGGGTATCTTTAGTAGAGGTTCATAAATAACCAATGATTATTGAATAACGTCGAAAGAAAATAGCAGAGAAAAATATTTTCAACACTTTGCCTTTGATTTTGCCCACTAAGGAGAAAGTCATCCTTATTAGGACTCTTCAGCAATAAATGGAAATTCTCGACTCCAGTCTCTAATGGAGTGATTAGGACACAAATTTCGATCGAACTCAATTACGGCGGGTCGAGCATGAGTAGATGCGACAGTGGTATCGCCATCTATACTTAGTAAGCAAAATCAAATAACATCTAGTGGATATCCACGATGGTTTGTGTTCGCGCCTAGACTTTGATATATTTAGTGGATGTCCATGGGATATTGAATACACCTTAAAAAAATTAATTTTAAATATCTGAACGGTACTATTAGCCACAATGGCGTAATTTTTTAATAATTTGCTATATAATTACTATTATTTATGGACATTTGCATGTCTATAAATTACATCTAATGGATGTAAAATAGATATCCACCATGGACCTGACATTCAGTGGATATTGGGATGTTCAGTAAATATCCAAAGGATTTGGTGTGCTGTCTGGGTAGATAGTTTTCTGCAAAATATGTAATGCCTCTGCAGCCATATGACTGGACCTCTTTCCAAGAGCCTCGCAAACAGGAAATTATTTTGATAACTGCCACTGACGTAATAACATGGACGTGCCAAAATCTAGTAACTTTTTGTTTCATCCATCTTACATTTAAACAATAATAAAGCGAATGGACGGGTATTTCCGAGACTTTAAAGCAGTTTTGTCACACGATTATTTCTCTTTATTTATCTATATGATTCACCCCTTATCGAAGGTATACATGGTGAGATCATGAATTATAATTATTACAAATGCACATGTTGCTAGGATTATTAATTATATTCAGTTTTCTGTAAAATTACCTGTAAACAAAGAAATCCCAAGATAGTCGCTCTAAAGAGCTACTACGTTGGTCAAATAAATCAATACATTTATTCAATGATCTTTATTTTTATAATGTAATATTTCATAACAATTTAATTAATATGCCTGCGTCAATGGTTCAGGAGTACTTGATATACCAAAAAGAAACTAATGTTTTTAATGACAGTTACCTAAAAAGATAAAAATAATACACCCTACAATACATCTGATAAACTAACTGCCTACATTTTTTTTTAAAAAAAGACAACGAAATATTTTTGAGAAAATATGACAAAAAAATACATCTAAAAGTTTGGAATGTAAATCATTTAAAAACAATTATAGTTATTTGGCAAATATACACATATAAATTAAATAGCATTATAACCTACATACAGTGCTTTAAAACTTAAAGCTCATGTTCCAATTAATATACAACTAAAAGCAAATAGAACAGCTTATACACAAGAAGGTAAAAAGAGAATTCGAAAATCACAACCAAAATTTGCTTTCTAATGGACAGATTTTATCTCACCGGAATGTTCGGCTAATTAAGCTGAGATTCTTATAGAGTTAACATTATGAAATAAAAATTTAATAACCATTCATGGCACATAGGTGTGTGTAAAATCAATAGAGATCCTAACGAAAATTACGTTAATATATCTAATTATGGTCCAGTATAGTGTTGAAAATGAAAAAATAGTTCATCAAATCTAATTTATTTTCATGTATTCATTTTAATATCAAAGCATCAGCTACACCAGTACTGGTGGACTTGGTTGTGGGAAAAATTAATTTCATCAAACTTGAAAATTTTAAGGTTTTATTGATACAGAATTCAAAAATAACAGTCGGCTGCATTAACAATGGTGGATTATTCGTTAACCTTATAAACCTTTAATAAAAAGTGAGGATACAAACTTATTTCATAAATCATGAAACTTATGCAGTATGTTTATAATAGCATTATAATGATGAAAATAACAATCGCCTGTACTTCTAACGGGGAGAAGACCGTCAGCTGGGGGTCATAGACATCGAGCACATCTCATAATTTAATTAATTATCTTTTCCACATTATATCGTCAGCTGACGATTAGTTCTATAAAATTAAGTGTTTAAACTATTGAATATAAAAATTCTAATTATTAAAAAATCATTTCTTAAATATTGTTAAACATTTTTATAATAGTTAGAATTTTTATATTCAATAGTTTAAATACTTAATTTTATAAAACTATTAGTCAGCCGACGATATGTCAGTTAATTAATTAAATTATGATAGGCTTGCCATGCACTCTCAATACCTATGACCCCACAGCTAACGGTCATGCCCCTACTAAAAGCACAGCTGATTGTTTTTTCATTATTCTAATATTATAAACACGATGTAAAAGTTTCATGATTTATTAAATAAGTTTGTATCCTCATTTTTTATTATAGGTTTATAAGGGTAACTAATCCATCATTGTCACTGTGCCTATTATTTTTGACTTCTGTATAATTCAAAAATTGGTCCTAATAAGGTATATTTTTTAATTTTTTTTACATGTTCCAAATGTTTCCACAACCAAGACGTTAACTACTGACGCTTGTTTCCATTATTAACTATATTTAAACAATCATTTCATACCAAAATTATATTTGATGAAAACGGCCGAAAAATTGCAACACTGCTTTCCGGTCTATTATGAACAGATACCTAAATGAATTTTTTTCTGTTGTCTATAAGGGTGTGATTTTTTTTTTGAAATCGCTTTAACCCAAGACTTTTTATATTTGAGGGGTAGGCATCTTGCATCCTGTGCACTCTCGATGAGTAAGTAGGCGTTTCACTGTAATCTACACTATTTGCATTGTAGATATGATATTCTTCCCTCAGTGCTCAGTGTATTTATGCTGGTGTGTCATTCTAAATCTATTGGATGTGTTCTTCTTTGGAGGAAATTGCAATTACTAGGTGTATGGGTTGTATCTGATAGATTCAATACGGGACCTATTATTACGTAAGTTTTTAGAGTTGCGGCGCATTTTTTAAATAAAAATTTTCCACGGCGCCATACAAAGTGTGACTAATAAGTGAAAAAATTAATTGACAATGGGGTAACCATTGATGGTAATTTAGAGATGAAGGATGAAAAAGTCCTTTAAATCTCAAGATATGTACATTTTAATTGCGAATGGTTCCGAAGTTTATTGCTTTGTATGATATCTGATATGTCATTTTTTATTATATTCAAAGACTGACATTTTAAAACATTTTTGCTAAATCGATTCTGATTAATGTGCACTTACGAGGCAATATGGCCGCTCGCAATGCGACCCATACTTTGAGTAATCTATATAACGATATATATCATTGACCTTGTTAAAGCCAACAGGCAGCCATTTGGACAGGTCTTTATGATGACTAATTAGGCAGTCCAATGTCCTGTTAGAATGGACAAAAATAGCTAATGCTTGGCAAAAATAACAAAGTCTGTTAACCTGACTTTTTCATTAGTATTTGACTGTTATTGTAAATCATATAATTAATATTCATATATTCTTAATAAATATTAATTTATACCATTTTCAACTAAACAACAAAAAACTCTTAACACTTCAAAAAAATAATATACAAACTTAAACTAATAAAAATAAAGTCTCTCGTTGATAAACCTCATGGGACCGGGGTACCTCAAAAAAATATCAAGGAATGGAATTAAAGTCTATCGTTGATAAACCTCAAGGAGCCGTGGCACCTCAAGAAAATCAGGTGTCCCACAATGTTCAAACCTTGTCGCGTTGCTGTTTTTGTTATTTATTATTGATCTCGATCACCATTTAAATTCTTGTAAACTTATTTATGCAGATGACTTTAAAATATATCTATTAGTACTAGACATGTATAACTGTTTAGCGCTTCAGCAGGACCTAGATATATTATCAGATTGGTGTATGCAAAATAGGTTAATGCTAAATACATCTAAGTGTAAAGTAATGGTATTCACCAGAAAAAGATCTACTACAGATTTCTATTATAATATTAATGGTCTAGTTTTGTCACGTTGTTCCTGTATCACTGATCTGGGTGTCACTTTTGACTCGAGGAATGTATGGTTTTGTTATACGAAACTGTCGTGGAACCAGGGACATTGGAGCATTAAAAACATTATACTATTCATACATCCGCATTAAGCTTGAGTACTGTTCAACTATCTGGTATTCCTACTATAATATTCACATGATTAGTGTTGAATCTGTTCAAAGGAAGTTTTTGAAATATTTAACTTTAAAAGTAAATGGTGTCTACCCTCCAAGAGGAATCGATTATCAGCTACTTTTGGATAGTTTTACCATGGATAGCCTTGAATTTCGGAGAATTATAGCTTCTTTGACATCATACAAAATCACGAATGGATTAATTGACTGTCCAACTATTTTAGTTTAAATTAATTTAAATGTTCATCGGTATAATAACATACAACATTTTTATTAAACAGATCTAGAACAAATATTCTATTAAGCTCACCTCTCAATGCCATGTGTAATAACATTAATTTATATTGTAATTCATTAGATATCTTCACAGATAGTTTGGAAAGTATTAAAGCAGTTGCTTACACCAATTATGACAATGCTTTTTTGTTGCATTCAATGTTTTTCATAATATCCATATAAAGTCAGAAAAATAAAAAAACGTTATTTTGTGGCCCTTCTACGCTCTTGCAGAACTCACTGCAGTTTTTAAATTATTTAAACTTTGTGTGTATTAGACAGGTCTGTTATTTTAATTTTGAGCTAAATGATCGGCATTCACTGCGGTTTTTAAAATATTTAGAGTGTGTCGACTTGTTAAACTACTTACTTTAGGTTTAAGTCTCTAATTTTAGAATAACTAATGTCTCTCATTTTATCAAAGATTATTTTGAAAATATGTCAAAATAATAAATATGTAATAATGTTTCAGTCTCAATAGAATTGAAGTTGTTTTTTTAAATTGCCTAATGTAATTTTAATAAAATCCTAAAAAATAACGGTACTAAAAATGTTAGGATCTCTACCAACAATACGTAAATTTGTATAAATATAAAATATGGAATGTATAAAGTACCATCAAAAGGAATGATAATATCAAAAATAAATATTAGAGAAATACAAAAAAATACTTAAAATATTACATACTTTGTGCTGCAAAATTACAGGATCAATTTTTCTGCACTGTAAAGAGTACAGATTATTTTGTTCATATATCAAAAAAATTCAATAGTTTTAAAAATAAAAAAAATAGCAAAGTAATAGACATAAAACATTCGGTTGGTCTTAACACCTTGACTGCGACACATGCCGTTTTCGGCATGTGATCATTTTAACTTATGTGCGGCAGGAAAATCATCAGTATTTCTTTAACTTCGATTTGTATGAAACTTGTAGCAATGGGGTTGTCAGTTGATGTAAGACAGTGTTAAAGTGTTTTTGTCTCACAAGCCAAAATAGGCATGTGCCACATACAAGTAATAACATTTTTAATTGTATGCGGCACATGCCTTTTCCAAACATATCTACTTTATTAATTTTTGTTCAGAAGAATCAAATATTGTTTTGAGTTATCTATAAAAAAAATATTTATTTTCTCATTGATGAGGTACATACCTATGACACCTTCATATGCAAGTAGTTGACGTAATAAGTTTAGATAAAAGTTGTACCTCTGATGAAAAGATTGGGTTTATATACAAATCTACTCACATAGGTGAAAACACATGGCATGCCATATACGGCATGTGTCACACATTAGAAATGTTATTTAAATTCGGCTTCGCAGTCAACGTATTAAAACACTGGTCTAACGGCGAGTTCCATATCAGGATAGAACTGCTCATATTGAAAGTTAGGGAAGAGTTTGAAGTTTAAATGTGACACGATTGTATTTTCCTTCAGATTTTCTAAAGAATCAACGAGTTGCATAAAAGTTGGACGTTCATCAAAATCAAGCTGCCAGCAATCCAACATAATTTGATAAAAGTCATGGTCGATATACTGCAACTGTGGTAGCCTCAATCCTTTCAAGATTTTGTCAGGAATTTCATTATTGGCTACAGATCCATAAGGTGTACCACCTAAAAACAATCATTTACCCAAGGAGGGTGAATGAATAAATTACATAAAGTAGTCTTAATTATTGTTATTATCCAGGGTGTCCCATTAGTGTGTAATTGTTCAATATTTAAATGTGCTATAGACATTAAACAAGTTTCAAATAAAAGTTATATATGGATTTGAAAAATACGTGTTTTAAAAATATTTTTGGACTGGCAAATAAAAATGTATATTTTATTTCAGACTTACAAGATACTAAGCTAATGAATAGTTGTGTTAGAAGTCTCAAAAATGGCCATGTTTAAGTTCAATTTACTCAATTTTTTGTATATTTTAGCGTAAAATTCCTTATAAATTTTCCTATCCAACGATACCAACATAATATTTCCCTTGCAAGTGAATTTCAACCACTGAAACCGACTGAGCGACTTGTAGGGGAAGGAACTGCTATTATCCTACTATATTAAAGTGCCAATGTGTCTGTCCGTGCCGCGATCTCGGGATAGAGAAAGCCAAAACCTTATCGGACTCAGATATAAGCTAGGAATACTTAGAGAAGCAAAATGACATCAAAATCATGGTACCTACTTTTGTGGTTCCCAAGATATAGAATTCGATTAAAAATTTAAATGAACGAAATCGTCTAGATTAGAAATTACGGCCTACTATATTAAAGTGCCAATGTCTGTCTGCTCCAAATAGATGAACCCGGTCAAGAAGAATTTGCAGAACACTATTTAGATGAAAATTATCATATATTTAATGACATCATATAATTATATATATTTTTTCAAACTTCTTAAACTTTTAATTTGCAAAAATTTACTATTCAAATGATACACGCGGCGCTACGCAAAGTGTCGAACACGCTCTTTCCTCCGGTTCTTATTATTTGCTGTGGCGATCGTGGCGACTTAAAGATGATTGATGGTGCCATTTGACTTACAGGTAAGGAAAACCCCACCCACCCTCATCGAAACGGTAACGCATGGCGATTTTTATAATTTGGATGTCATATCAATAGAAAATAAATTTTTGCAAATACGGCATCCATTAAATCCTATAGAGAAATATGTAAATAAATTCACATGGTCTTATGTAGGATTTGAAGCCAGTGTGTCTCTCTACCACAAAATTGCTCGCAAATAAATGCAAGCGCCTTAGACACCTACGCCACCGTCCCAATGTTGGCCAATAACACATATACAGGGTGTCCCATCGGTGCGTAATTGATCGTTAACTGTTTTATTATTGAAAATTCGAAAAAAAAAAAAAATATAAAAGTTGTATGATCATATTTAAGAATTAATGAGGGGCTGAACAAACCTGTACTTTTTTAAAGCAAAACGTTAGGTTTCGATTTTCTCAATTTTTTAAATGGAATACCGTATATATGTTATACCACCAATTAATTTTTTAAACAGGGTATTCCATTTAAAAAAATTGAGAAAATCGTAACATCACGTTTTGTTACACCTTATATACAACATATCAAATGAATAAAGTCTATTAAAATTGTTTGACGATGTAAAAACAATCAAATATGTAGGGTGTTTTGCTTTAAAAGAACGCATAGGTTTTATCAGCCCCTCGTTTATTGACTACCCTGTATATTTGAGAATAATTAAAGGGGCTAGAGCAAAAAGGGTACAAGTGACTTTTTTTTTCATTTTAGAGATAAGTACAGTTTCATCTAGTTAAATGAAATTTATGTCACAACATACAGGATACAAGTGCTTTTGAAGATCAGTAACGTCATCTTTTGGTGAAATCTAGAACCTTGTCAGCCATTTCTACAAAATGGTTCCTGCAAAATGGGTATAAGTGCACTTGTACCGTTTTTGCAGTAAACGAAATTTATTAGTGCCTTCCATGCGTTGTAAATGTTCGCTTACGTTTTAGTAATATCGGTATAGTTTTTACTTATTAATTAAGTTTAGCTGTTATAGTTTACAACATCGAAGAAATGGCGAGTAATGAAGGTAAGACAAAAAATAATTAAAAACATAGATAATTTTGAGGTAATATTTTTTATGTGTATTTTTTAGATGAATGGAAAAGAAATAAAAAGAAGAGGTTAGAACTGAGGGAAAGCGTTACATAGGACACAGGGGGGTAGAGCACCGAGAAAGGCAGTTACAAGTGTTTCTTCACACTTGCAGGTATAAATGCAACGAAAATATTTCTGAAGCCCATAGACGAGCATTATTTGAAATTTTTTTATAAATTACATAATTACGACTGTATATTTATCCTCTTGTATAATCAAAGACGCAACAAAGAGGAAAAGATCTGATGAACCATGAAATTTCTCTACAAAAATTTTACTGCTAAACAAGCGTGTTTGCAAGGCATTTTTTAAAAAACTTTTGACATAAGCAATAGGCGCTTTACCATGGTGTGTAAAAAACTGATGATCTAGGTATTTGCCAGGTTGATCAGCGGGGAAAACAGCCAAGTGTTAATAAAATCGACCAAGAGACTAGAGATTTTGTTATTCAACATATAAAACAGTTTCCAAGATATAGAAGCCACTATTCGCAAAAAGATAACAACACAAGAAACTTATTCCCTGAACTTAATGTAACAAAACTCTACTCCTTATATAAAGAACGCTGTGTTGAAAACAATATAGTCCCCGCAGAATTTTCAATAGAGTTTAAACTACGTTTTCACAAATCTCACACTGATACTTGCTCAAAGTGTAATAGTTTGCAAAATATTATTAAACATTCAGCCAATTAAGACAGTGTGAAATCAGCTAAGACATTATTGGAAGTCCATCAAAGAAAGGCAGATAAAGCATCTAAACAAAGGATTTAGACATTACAATGCACAAGAAGAACTTGACGGATACTGCTGTAGTTTGCTTCGATTTACAACAAATATTACCTACTCCGTTATTAACAACATCAAAGGTCTTTTATCTGAGACAACTTTGGACGTACAATTTTTGCGTCCTTAATTTGATTACTGGTGAAGCTTACATGTACACTTGGGATGAAACCGTAGGTGGTAGAGGATCACAAGAAATTGGTTCTTGTTTAATACATTTTATTAAGCAATTGCCCCTCAATGTTACCAAACTCATAGTATATAGTGATTCATGTGGGGGCAAAATAAGAATAAAAATATATGCAAATTATTTATGTTTCTAACTAAAGCTATCCACCTAGAAGAAATTCATCATAAGTTTTTAGAACCGGGCCATACATACATGGAATATGACAGAAACTTCGCTTTAATTGAGAAAAATAAGAAAAAGAATCCACAAGTATTCATACCTGATCAGTGGAGGACAGTGATTGCTTGTTCCTCAAAGAAATTTATCGTGTGTAATATGAGTGAAGACAACTTAATAAAAGATTTCAGAAAAGACTCTGAAGGAAAACTATTGAAAATTTAGGGAAGTCGCTTATTTTAAATATGACAAGATATGGAAACATTTTCATTTGAGTTTAAACATACTCTAGATCAGCGTTACTCAAAGTGTGCTCCGCTGAGCCCTTGGGCTCCGCAAAACCTTTGTGGGGGCTCCGCGAAGAAAATAACAAAAAAAGCCGTACCTATCGCTATAACGGGACTTGAGTGTTGTTTTAGAGGAAGTATACGATTTTGGTATTTGAGAATTTGGAGGACTTTTTTGCGAAATGTATTTAGGGCTCTGTCAAATATTTCACTTTTCAAAAAGGTTCAGTCACCAAAAAAGTTTGAGAACCACTGCTCTAGATAGTTCGTATCCATTTTCAAAATGTGCTTGCGGATGACGTTTCGTCGGACGTCCATCGTTTTCCTTAGAATCAACACTGCAGCAATCTAACAAATTTCCAGTGCCTATTAAACTTGAAAAATGGAATAATCTCCAGAGCCTTCTGGGGTACATTCCACCTATTTATTATGGGTTTTACAAAAATATGATCCATCAAAAATCTAAAGGGAAGAAAGCACAACATTCCAAAATAGCAACTACTAAAAATTTAGAACCAGGTCCCAGTAATTCTAACAAACTTTAACTTTAACAAAATTACTATTTTTGTTTGTGCAAAAAGGGTATAAGTACATGAAATTCAAAATTTTGGCTGAACTAATTTTTATTTTTAAAATTCACTTTATTCATAGGATATTTCCTCATTTTTTTAGCCACACACCTTAACACTAAGACAATTTCTTTTTCATAGAATTTTCAAATAGCAATTAACTTTAACATCTAATTACTCAAAACTATATAATCTGCACTTATACCCTCTTTGCTCTAACCCCTTCAATTCTTAAATATGGTCATATGACTTTTATATTATTTTTTTTCCTATTTACAATAATAAAACAGCTATTGATCAATTACGCACTGATGGGATACTCTGTGTATGTGTTTTTGGCTAACCTTTTGGTATCGTTGGATACGTAAATTTATAATGAATGTTATGCTAAAATAATATAAAAAAAAAATAGTAATTAAACTTAAAACCAGCTATATTTAAGACACGTTACAACACTCTGTATAAAATAAACCAGTTATATCACCACTATTCGTTAGTTTAGTATCTTATGATTCTTTACTTTTAAAAATTTTGAAATCATTTTAATCCTAACTAAACTATGTAAATTTAAGTTGGGATCTGCATCATTCTCTAATTTCATAAAAAAATTAATTGCTTGACAACCCTGTAATATTTTTTAAAATATTCTAGAGTTGAATACATTATTAACAAACCATTCTAAAATTGAAATAAAATACAGGGTGTTCTATTTAAAAATATACATTTTTATTTACAAGGCAAAAACGCAACACCCTGTGAGACCAAAATATTTTTAAAATACGTATTTTTTTAATCCATATAACTTGTTTGCGTGTCTATAACAATTTGAAATATTGAATAATTACGCACTAATGGGACACACTGTATATACCGATTATAAATATTTTCAAAAAGCTAGAGGGATAAAAATGTATACAACTACAAACCTAGAGCACAAATTTCCCATAATAAACATGCAAATGACCAAACATCGCTCTTCCTATTGTAGGGATGGTTTTTAAAAATTTCAACAGCTTTCCATCTTGTATAATCAGGTATTTTATTGTGGCTGAAATATTGCGCTAAACCATAACTGGTGATCTTTGGTACATTACCGGAAGAAATCACAACGCTTCGAGCGCACAGCTGTTTATGGATAATCTAAAAATTAATCGATAATTATAGGATGACTAGTAGCCTGTTATTTGTTAAATGAAGTGCTTCTTAATATGGTACAGGGTTTTTCATTATATTTTGACCACAACTTATTTTTATTATTCTTGTGAATACAAAAAAAGTTTCAAGTAAAAACTTTGTTGTTTTACCTCAACTTTTTCGTCCACAGTATAACCCATTACAAGCAATCAATTGACTTTTAATAACAACTGTTTCACTTGGAAACATTTTCATAGCCATCTATGTGTTACGCTTTCATAGTGCAATAAGTCACTAAATAATTAAAATATTATAAATTTGTAATCAGGAAATGACAAAAATATATAGGGTCCCTCCCGTTAAAAAAATGAAATTATATTTTGTTGGAGTTATATAAAATTCTGCCAGCTATTACATTTTTAGTAGGTAGGTAATCCACTCGAGTAGTACAATATATTTTTTTTCTACGACCGTGTATTTTTACCCACTTTCCCGCACGCATTTTAGTTTTGAAAGTGTCACTTTCCCGCACTAGTGCGGGAAAAAATCACTTTCCCGCACTAGTGCGGGAAAGTAAAATTATGAATATTTGGCCTTACCTATTGTATAGTTTTTTTACCTCGGATGTTATAACTATTTATGATTAAAGTGAGTACCATTTTTGCTTTAGCTGGTGCTCTCCGTAGAGCGGAGCTTGTAAATATCACTCTCGATGATATACAAGATAAAGGCAATCTGATGTGAAAATTTCCGATTCCAAAAATCATTCTTCGAGATCATTTGTTTTATGTGAAGAAATAAATAATGGAAACTTTCTGAAGCTGTACAGAAAGTACGCAGGTTTACGACCACCTACCACTCCGCATCGCCGCTTTTTTATTAATTATAAGAAGGGAAAATGCTCAATTCAGTGCGTTGGCGTAAACACCTTTGGTAATATGCCAACAGAGATTGCTGCATATTTGCGTCTACCTAATCCTGAACGATATACAGGACACAGTTTTAGACGTTCTTCAGCAACATTCCTAGCAGACTCAGGTGAAGCGATAACCAATATAAAACGTCTCGGTGGCTGGAAGTCCACTACTATCGCTGAAGGCTATTTGGAGGACTCCGAAACACAGAAGAAAAACATTTCGAATAAAATTCTTTCAAATAGAAATGACTTGCAACCTTTGCTGCCACCGTCATTTTCACCTTCATGCGACCTGCAACCGATGTCACTCCCGTCCACGTCATCTTTTCAATCTACGAGCGTTACGACTATTAACAGCCAATTAACACCAACTAATTCCTCTGTACCGGCAATTTTAAATAATTTACAAAATGCTACAAATTGTGTATTTAACATTAATATCCATAATAATTAGTTGTTTTTATTTAAAGATTTGTATATGTTGAAATAAAATATTTTTCCAAATATAATTTTTCCTACTTTTTTGTATATACGGTCGTAGAAAAAATAATGTTCCTAACTCATGCGTAAAGTGTCTTTCCCGCACTTGACCGCTTGCCCGAACTCCGCTTCGCGTCGTTCGGGCCAACTGCAGTCGCGTGCGGGAAAGTAACACTTTCCGCACTTGTTAGGAAAATAACTATTCTATTACCCACTAACAAAAATCTACAAAATTTTTAAATTAAATTTAAGGGTTATTAAGATAAAAAAGATTTTAAAAATATTTAGTCGTCAATCCTGGATTTGAACCTCAGACATTTCGAATGACAAATCAATACTCTACATATCTACCCTATGGAGGCAGCTAATTTTTTTAATACTTATAAATAAATTGGTTTTATATACACACAACCAAACTTATATGGAATCACTGTGTATTTCTGAATAAACTTTTTGTTAAATTTGGTATCTAACTGTAAGATAAGGCTTTTTGTTCAAAACAAACATGATAATAAAGAAGAAACGACTGCTGCGATTTATTATCTTGTGAATTTTGTGTTTAGAAGGAAAATCACGATCCTCCGGTAATATTTCGGTCCAAAAAAACAAACAATAAATTTGCCTTATGTTGGACTAACAGATGGGCAGAGGGGAAGAATTATTACTCTCATTAAACAAGGAATGTCCCAATGAGACATAGCAGAGGTAATAGGCGATACTAAGGGTGTTGTATCGAAAACATATGAAAGGTACTTGGAACTAGAAACTTTCAAGAACAGGCTCAGATAAAATCATCAAAGAGTCACAACTGAACAACAGGGCCGCTTTGTGCGCCAAATTGCTAGAAGAAATCCCAGTGTTTCTCATCCAGAGTTACAACTTCTGGAAGCTACAGGTGTGAAAGTTTCAGCTGAAACCCTAAGAAAAAGACTTCATGCTCTAGGGGTTGTACAGAAGGAGAGTTACGGGTCCCACCGTTATCTAGACAAAATAAAATTGACCGGCTAAATTGGTGCCTTCAACACCAAAACTGGACAATTGAGAATTGGAAAAATGTTCTTTTTTCGGATGAGACACCAAAATTGGCCTAAGATCAGATGACCATCGAATTCGGGTTCTCAGGGCTCCAGGAAGATGAGCGAGACTCCACGCTGCCAGATCTAACCCAAGATATCAAGGAGGAACTGTAAAGTTCTGGGGAGGTATTATGCTGGAAGCAAAAACTCCATTGTTAGCACTTCAACAAACTTTAACCAGTCCGAGGTATGTTGATTTAGTATTAGAACTAATCGTTAGGCTTTGGAGAGCTGCAATTGTAGATAATTTTATCTTTATGCACGATAGTGCACCTCCTCATATCAGCAGAGGGGTTACAGAATGTCTTGAAACGAAAGGTTTCACAGTTTTAGACTGGCCTGCATTTTCACCAGACCTAAATCCTATCGAATACTTGTGGGACCAGCTCAAAAGAAGGGTTAGAGCTCGTCAAAACAATGCAGGAAATGTCGCACAGCTTATTGATGCAGCATTAGCAGATCGGAAAAACATACATCAAGACAATGTTGAAAATTTAATAAGAAGCAAGCCAGGGCGAATAGAAGCTTTCATAAGGGCTAGAGGTGGTAACACGGATTGTTAAATATACCAATTTTCTTTTTGTTTTTGTGCTATTGAAAATTTAAATCTCATTTTGTTTCAGAAACCAAAAAATACCATTGTATTTTGTCAACTAATTGATTATTTTTATGGGTTATTTGTCAATAAAAGCCTTTGGTAAGGATCGAATGTTATTCATAAACAAAAAATATTCATAAATCTCAAAAATAATGAAAAATAATAGATGATTCTATATAAGTTTGGTTGTGTGTAGTTCCGACAAATTTACGATTTATTTTTAAATATAGACAAATAACTTGTGGATTCTTCACCAGAATCACTCATTTTAAATTATTATATTTTAATCTCAATAACTAAAAAATATACTGACAGTTTGCTAGAATTGTTACTTATTTAAAATTAAAATAGTAGTTTGTGCAACAAGAGTGGATATGGACAATTCACTCGAGTTGTACAGTTTATTTTTAAGACTTTTTCATTTTTCTCTTTCGAAAAGCTAAAAATAAAATTTTGAAAAAGTGGTTCCAGCGGAACACAGATGCAACCTTTATCTACACGTACATAGGTATATTTTTCTTTTATTAATAACTGACAAATGTGAATACAAAACAAATGTGAATATTGTTATAATAAAATTAAATATAAGTTCGTGTAATAATAATAAAAAAGAAACAAAAAGCGTTTATACCGAAACTTAAAAACACTTGCTTCAGAATTCAACGTATTATCTACAAAACACATTGAATAGATGCTTTTGTTTTCGAGACGGTATAATAACGATGGGAAAGCCAAAGTTCATCAAATTAATTTTATTCACACTATTTTTTTTGCAGAAACTACAGAATGAATATGTAGCCATTGTATCAGTCTACTGAACGGATATAATTTTAAATTAATTCTAGAATGTCTATCCACCAAATATTAAGTAGCCCACTAACTAAATATTCTACACCCATAAACCGGGAAATTTTTCTTGAAATAGGCGAACAACTTCAAAGTATGTTCCTGTTTTATCTCCGTAACCAATCATTTATAAAATTGTTATTATGTGCATTTCTGTTACTAAACCATGTTTCTGATCTGTAGCGGAGACGTAGAACTTAATAGGAAAATTTGTTCGGTGGTCCATTTAAATTACATATATGACTTTCTTTCTCTTTTACATTGATCTTTACATATATTTATCTTTCTCCAATAAAACTAACACCATTCCTAGATGTCGCTGATGTTGCTGGTTTTTTGACGTCGACGTATGACGTATACTGCCGTGCTTAATGAAAACGCCGTAACCAACAATTTTGCGATTTTTGGTTTACGGCATTTTCTACTGGAATAATTCATCCTGCATCTATTCTTCTTACTCAAAAATCCGTATCTACCTTTTAAGTTTGAGTTTAAATGTGTTTTGTTTTGCCGTATATACATTTATGCTACTTGTTATAAAGAAATTTGCCGTATGCCACATTTTTTAAAGAAAATTACCGTATATGCATGTTTTTGTGCATATACGGCAAAATGACCTAAAAATAATAGACGTTGTTTTACTTTAATAGTAAAACGGTAGGTTGGTTTGCCGTACCTAAGTGTAGATAGTTTGGCTCGCGTTCTATAAAAATACGTTGAGAACTGTCAGAGGACTAGTTGACCAGTCGATTACATTTAAAAGTTGTACGTGACTAATAATTTGTTATTTAACTGTTCAATTGGATCTCGGATGGTTTGGAGTGTTAGAGAAACCCGAACAAATGCGATGAATTACCTGTTTTGAGACAATGTTAGCAGTTTATTTTAGAAGCTTGACGCGTTCGATCATGTTATATTGTTTTTACTTTCCTATCTGTATACAGATATAAGGAAAGTATAGGATTCATGATTTTTTTCGACCTCGAGTTTTCGACGGATTTTTACGTTTTGAGGTCCCCTGAATCGGTTTTGACTATTTTCGCGATGATGTCTGTGTGTGTGTGTCGCATAACTCATGAACCGATACACAGAAAAACACCAAATTTCAAACTTAAGCTTTGTTCCAGCGTCCAATGTGCTGATTAGATTTTGGGCAGTGTCGGAACATCTGGGGGGGGGTACTTTATAGGGGGCCGTTTTTATATTTTATGGAATATATCTGTTATTTATGTTTGGAGATAAAAATTGTTCAAATAAAAGTTATTTCTAATATTATCATCTATAATTTTTGCTTTATGTCAAAATTTCCTGAAATGGTCCGTATTCGAGAAATTTGACAAAATGTGCAAAATTCCGATTTTTATGAAAATTGTTGAAATAAAAGTTGTTTGCGATATCGATCTCTATAATTTTTGTTTATACATGATTTTTCTAAAATGGACCGTAATGGAAAAATTGTAGGAAAAGTGCTAAATTTAAATTTTTCAGTATTTTCATTTTCAATGAATATCTATAGAAAACTGTTTCGAGGTAGATGTATGTGGAAAATGTATATATTTATTTTATCCTCTAAAAATGTATGGAGGTGCTGCAATAGGTTGTACAAAATAACCGGAAAAAGCCTATAATAACTAGATAGGAAAGTCATGTGTTGGACACATCAGATTTTTTCAATTAGTTGTAAGATTGCGTCGATATTAAAATTTATAAGTTGTGTTTTTGTGTTATATCAAATAGTATTAACATTGATACAAATAGATATTTATATAATATTGAATGTTTCTATATTTGTGGGTAAGTTTTTTGTGCCTCTAGTAGTTTTGTAAGTTTAAAAAATTATTGTTTTTTTGTTTTTTCTATATAGTTTCAAAATGGATAATTTACCAAGAGGCAAAAAGTAATGTTGATTTAGACACTGATTATCAACCATACTTAGTAGATGATATCAATTCTTTACAGGCTAAAAAAACTATTCAAATTCATTCGCATCATAAAATTACAAGTTTAAATCCTTTGCAAGTTATAAGCCTACTTCCAGCTTCTTCACAAGCAGGATCTTCATTCCAAGATCTACCAAATTTAGAAAGCGAAATAGATATTCCGAACACAAAGGCTGTTCAAAAAACTTCCTCTGACAAAACAATAGAATTAAATCCCTTAAAAGAAAAATGCCTATTTGGAAATGATCCTCAAGAAGAAGATTCATTACAAGCTGCAGCTATTGTCTCTCCAATAATAGAAGAATTAATAGATTTAACGTTATGGAAGTTACTCTACGAAAGCGGAAAAAATTCGATACTCCCTTAGCTAGTCGCATAGCAGCAAAAAAATATGAAGGTTTTAAAATACACAATAAAACCGCCTGCTCTGCCAAATATTTTTAAAATGCAGTTTAAAATTCAATGAAGAACGTAGAAAAGTTATAAATCAGCAGTATTGGGAATCATCAAATGATATTCAAAAAAAACTTTTTATTAAACCATGTAAAACGAGAAAGCATAAAAAGAAGAACTGTGGTTGTATCTGGCCATTAAGAAAGTCAACATTGGTTCATTATTTTTTGAAAGAGGATACTGGTCATCGTCATAGAGTATGCAAAGTTTTTTTTTGGGAACAATAGGATATGATTCACATGATGATAGATTCCTCAGATCCATAATTTCATCAGATAATGAAGGAACTGTGATTTTTACACCTAAAAGCCAAACAACAGTGACTCCAAATAAGAAAATTGATCGGAATGTTATTGTTGATCACATATCTTCATTTGGGCCAACAATTTCTCACTATAGATGAGCACATGCACCAAGAAGACTCTATCTTCCATCTGATATTAATATAGCGTACATGCATAAACATTTTCAAGAAAAGTTAATGAAAGTTTCCTATGCAGTGTACCGACAAGCAGTTGCCGACCAAAATATATCTTTCGTTAAACTTGGGCATGAAGAGTGCTGGTCTTGTGAAGTTTTCGATTTGCATTGTAAACAAATAGGCCACGACAAGAAGAATTTACCTGATGATTGCAATGTATGTGAAAAATGAAAGAACCATGAAGAAAGGGCAAATCTTTCAAGGGAAACTTACCAACAAGATAGTAAAGCTGACAGTGAATCTGTACATGTAGTATTGGCAAAGGACTTTCGAAATGATTAGAGATTGGCTATTTCTTACATACACCTACCTCTAATAGCCACTCTAGTGGCTATTAGAAGACTGTAAAGTCATTTAAACAAAGAAAAAAAATTGAAACACAAAAGGGCAGAATTTTAAATCAGGATGCATTGGAAAATAAATTTGGGGACATCAGGTCGGTTTTGGATTTTAGAGAGAGATCAGTCTCAAGAAAAGTTAATTTATCCTGCAGAACAACCAGTAGTTTGAGTAGGATCTACTATAACTTTATTAGATTTCCTTGTTAATAAATTGTAATATACCAATTGTTTCAAATGAAATTGAAAAAGAGTTTAATTCGAAATTAGATTTTTCAGTCAAACATCGTAATGTAATCTATAATTAAGGGAGTATGGAAAATAGGTATACCCTGGTGGTAAGGGACAACGACAAAAAAATTACAAAAATGTATTCATCTTTAAATAGTGTTTATTATTAATATTATTATTTGCTAAATTTGAAAAGTACCTCCTGCTGTAGAGCAGATTGAATAGATTAGACGACTAGTTGGAGAAGGTCCACCTAGTCACCAAATTGGGAGACTAGGAAAACTTTTACATGACTGGGGACACAACAGGAATGCACACCCATAAGATACACAAACAGACTACATAACAGGGGTAAGCCTTCAGCAACGTCCTGTTTAAATGATGATAGTATGTCATCCTTCATTCGCTTTTAGAAGGGATGGCATATAAATCTATTGATCTTGATGAACCTAAGAGAAGTTAGCAGGGGGGTGGACGGAATGGGTCTAGCAGGTTTCGAGCCAGTTTACAGGATGGGAACTTACTCGACTCGGGCATTATACGTTTGTGTGAGTGTATGTGCGTGTGTGTTTGTTTCGTTTCCATGGTTCCTATTAAAATAAACAGTCATAACATATCGATAACTTTTTGCCAGACTAACGTAAGCGACATTTGTTCAAATGGCGATATACTCTATACTATATAAAATATTTGTTACATTATTTTTTAAATATATTATGAATATTATAACAACTGTGACTTTCTTTGTAATTTGTCACAAAATGACACGGGGTACTTTTTAAACGTAGCAATTGTAGTTTGTTTTTCTGCACCTTCCAAAAATGTAATTTATAAAAAAAGAGTTTGGTGTATTATTTTTCCAAGTTTAAATATTTGATAATTCAAGTTTATTTAGCGAAATTTACAAGAGTAATAAAAACTATGTTCACTGCTTATATTAAACTGATTAAAACTTCCTTTATTAAAATGATTATTTATATGATAAAAAATTTGATGTTATGGAAAGCTTTTGCATTTTTTAATATACAGTGAAACAATAGTTTTTGTTTCTCCTGTAAATTTGTATAGAAAAACTATTTATTTCTGAATCCATGTTTGAATTTCCCGCCCTAAAGCATTTTTAAATTTTCCCGCTATTTACTATTGGTTGTGGTTACAATCGCCCAAATAACTTTTGCTGCACAAATAAAATCCATTGAGTTACACGTCTCGCTGGGTTGTCTCTGTCTGTAGTTAATAAATTCAAATGACACATACCTACAACACTGACAGCAAATTAATGTCATGCGGTTACAATCACACAGCAAGTTGCTAAGGCGTTTTAAATGAAATTAAGAGTTCCCAACTATGAAGAGTGTTCATAACTTTTTGTCTTTTTTTGTTTGTTAATTTCGTTGCTTGCTTTCTCATTATCAAGAACAATAATTAGTTATTAATTTTCTCCTATTAACCACAACCAAATACCCCACTGAAGGAAATAATAATTAACTTACTTTACATGCATCCAAATGTGCCATTCCCTTAGCAATCTGCACAGCAATACTAAGAGCTTGAGCTTCAGACATATTGCTAAATCTACCCGGTAAAGAATCTCTACTTCCGAGAAGAACATCTTTAAGATTAAGGGAAGCATGTTCTAATACTACATAAATTAAATGAGATGTTTCACACATTCCCACCAATCCTATCGTATTTTCATGTTTTCCGACCTTTATAAGAATGTCTAATTCCTCTAGCATAGCTTTTCTTGTTTCCTGAGACATTTTTTTGTCTTGAATAGTGTACGCAGTCACAGGAATCTCGGTGTCGGTATCCTTCTCTTGAAATAATGCACTATTAACTCTGCCATATCTTCCCACGCCAAGTAAGTTAGTAGGTTCAACTTTGAGCTGATTCGAGGGTAGGGTTCTTACTCTTTGTTTCAGGTTTCTGTAGTGATTCACAGGTATTGGCTCATCTTCGTGAATGTAACCATTATTTTCCTAAGTAAAAACAAATTTTACTCTCAAAAAATAAAGAACAACTAAGTATACTCAAAACATAATCGCAATAATACAATAGTAAGTAAAGCGATACTTTAAAATTAGATAGTGTCATCATGCTCTAATCCCTAGAGTACCTTTTTATTTTAAAAATGCTTATTTTACAGTGATTTTTCACGAATACCTCAAGAACCTTAAGTTTTATAAAAAAAATGGCATTAAACAAATGAAATCTTTTAAAAAATGAATCTATTGGTATTTTTTTTAATTCCATAGATGCAATACGAACTGAATTATGGCTCGTTGAAGGTGACTGTTCGCCAAAAACTGAATCGAAACATTTCAACTTTTAAAAACGGAAAAATGACAAATTTTTAGAAGAACTCTTTAGAGATTTTAAAGTTTTTGAAAAGACCTTCACAATCAGCTTCTTTTGAAGTCATTAGTATGAAAACTGACAGTTATTATTAAAATAAAGTGTGGCTGTCTTGTTTTTATGAAGTAAACTCAGCTATGAAGTAAATGACTAACACTTAAGAATTACAATTATATGTTATCCATTTAAAATAACTTTGTATGTTCTAAAAGTTTAAACGGTTTAGAGATTGAAAAAGTTTGATTTAATTTTCAACTTTTTATTCACAATACCTCAAAAACTAAACAAGATTCACAAAAAACACAATAGTAAAAAAATGTAGGGTTTTTTTTTGCAAAAATTAGTTTTTTTTTTTTCACCTCTGCAGGGTAAACATTACTTGAGATATTACCTTTTTTGTTTGCATTTGAGTGCAAGTAGCCCTTTAAATTCAAAAATCTCTGAAGCGAAATAATCAAGCAAGTTTCACTTTAGAGGTTTTGCAAAATGGGGTTTTGAGCGAATAGATATCTTTAAAATTAAGAAAGGAATGCTTGTTAAACAATTTACTATTTTACTATATTACTTCTTTAAAAGGAAATAGGTATATTAAACACTTTTGCAAAATTGTGCTAGAAATATATAGTTCAGACACGTTTGTAGCTAGTGATGGGTAAATTTTTGGGGAACAAAGTGATCGGGAAATCCTCAGGACATTTTCTCTGGAATTTCCTGAGAATTCCCAATACACTGTTGTGAATTTCGGCTTATTTTCCATTCCATTTATTCATTATATGCAAGGCGCAATCAAGACAAAAACTAAATTAAAATATCCATTTCTTTCGGTGGCTCATTTTAGAAATAATAACACAACAACTAATACCTACAATTTCATAATACTAAGAGCAGAGAGAGTCAGCCAGACACCAGACCACAAGTCCTGATATTCCTAAAAGTGTAAACAATTGGGTAACGGGGTAACGGTTAACAATGTTGTTAGATTTAACAAACTGTGCCTAATATTACGTAATTTTAAGAATATTGTTATTTCTAGCAAGGTTTTTCCCCGGGAACTAGAGTTTGGAGAAATTTCTGGGAATTTTCCCCTTCTCACTGTAAATTCCCCGTGGAAATTTTCCCGCCACCTGTCACTATTTGTAGCCTTAACCTTTGACTTTAGGTTAGAAGTTATTATTTTAACTACATAAATGTAATGCTAACATGGTTTAACTCAATATAAAACCTTTGCAATATTATACTTAAAGATTCAATTACTTACAACTTCAATCATGGGCCCTTGAAGAGTCAATTCTTGATTGTCTGAAAGCCGATGCCTTCTATTAACAACCCTGCTTTTTAAAATGATAAATCCAATGATACCAGCGATCAACATAAAAGTCAATAATCCAATGGCTATTGACAATCCAATGATGACAGCAGGAGAATCGCCCCCAACCTGATCATCAGAAACATTAAGAATAGATACGCCACCCCCTGTAACTGCACCGTTACTGTATTTAATTTTTTCAATGCCATTTAATCTGCTTATTAGTGCTACAATTATGTTATAGTTAACATCTGGATCTAATGGAGCATTATAGTAAGGTCCATAGGTTTGACCATCACCAATAGTGAATACTTTATTAATATCCTAAAAATATTACTGTTTTTATTTATTGATAAGAATAGTATTTTTTTAAGTACCTTGGGATTCAATTCTGCTGTTATGTAATAGGACAGATCATTTCTGTTTGCTTCATGGTAAGAAGTTAGAATAGACTGGTCAAAATCTTGATTGAGGTCTTCATTAACAACAATTACTTTGTAGGATGTAACAGGACCATTATTATTTGAAGTTGGTAATAATTTAATATCAATTTGGTGTCCTCTATTTTCAATAATTTCTGGTTTGGCAGGTTCACTATCAGGTGCTAGAAAAATTCATTGCAAATAGAATACAGCATTCCTAGTTAGTAACTAGTAATAAATGTATAGTGTAGGTAGTGGCATAATTCCAAGTTTTAAAAATAACGGCTTGCAGTGGTCGAGAAAGCCCATGTTAGAGATTATTCAGATATATTGTTGCTTTTGTAGTCTAAAAAAGACTCCTTGGAGTTTCCCCAAATGACTACTCCATAAGATATATGAGAGTAGAAAAGAGCATAATAAATACTCAATAGAGTTTCGTTATTAGTAATTTTTTGAGTTGACGCAGTACAAAATTTACCTTGCTCAGTTTATTGCAGAGGGATGCAATGTGAGGCGACCATGTTAGTGTGTCGTCAAGGATGATCCCTAAAAGTTTACTGGTATAATATTACCTGTGCCATTTCGTGGATGGAAGTTGATGTGCTGGGTTTTGTTTGTATTCAATTTTAGATAGTTAGCTGAGAACCAAAATTCTGCTTTGTCAGTGTTTGACATCACAGTGGTTCTGATATGTGATAATTCTGTCTCATGGATTAAAGTTGTATCGTCAGCAAAAATAATGCACTTTATAGGGTTTAGGAAGTAAAAAATATTCAATCATATATATTATAAACAACAGTGGCCCAAGAATGGAACCTTTGTTTTATCATCGTGACTAACACACTGCTGCCTGTCTGTTAAGTAGTTGATTATCAATTTTAAAGGCACCCCTCTCACACCATAGAGTTCAAGTTTTTTTATCAACAAGTTATGATTTACATAGTCAAAGGCCTTGCTGAGATTACACATAGTTGTAGATGTTTGAACACCTTCCTCAAAGCCTCCAACTATACTGTTCACAAGTCGTGAGAGTTTTTTTTTTCTTAAACCATACTGGTTTCTATATGGTAACATTTTTTTTTCAAAATATTGGCCGAAAGTTATCTAAAATCTCATAATCCACCGTTTTGTGAATTGGGGCTACCCTTAACACCTCATTCTCACTATTAGTGCACAAACAAAAGGTTGATTATCTACATTCACATGAAATAGGGTCATGGCACTATTTATGGCCACCTCTTGCTTTAAGATCTAAAAATAAAGGTTTAGCAACAATATAAACAAAAATGGTGGTTAGAGGAGGTAGAGCATGTGGTGACATGATTGGGCAGGTTTGCAACTAATAAACCAAGTCCATTGGAAATCAGTAAAATAGATAGCATGTGTAATACATGCAAGCTTGAAGGTTTTGCCTAAGAATTTATTTGTAAACATCATAACAAAAATCAGATCTATTAAGTATATTTTTGAAAATTTGCAATTCCAGAGGTAAGTAGATGTTAATACCCATGTATTTTGTTTTCGACATCATACATAGTTTTTTAAATAAAAATAAATATCAGGATGACCATTAGTAATGACTAAAAATTAACAATTCGTGAGTTATAGTCACACAAAAGTAAAATCTCGTGTTTGACTTATGGCCACTGCAGTTATTGTGTGGGTTGAGGGGTAGATAGCAATTGAGTTTTGTAGCTAATAAATAAGATGAAATGTCACTAACATCTGACAACAGTGGGATATTCTCATATATAGAATCAACAGTGATTATGTATGCAGTTAGGCAAAACATTAAAACCTGGCGATTTTATATTGGTACAATTTAGTGCCTGTGGTAAAAGAAGATCGACCATGTATAAATATGTTGCAACTTGTGCGTCAAACTATGGAAAATGAAATAGAAATCCAGCGCTTAAAAAGCTCAAACAAAGAAAAAACTACTTTTGCATATACTGCCCTTCTAAGCCAAAAAGCGGTATCTCAGTTGAAGCGAGTTTGAGAAAATATGCATTTTTTAAAAGTTGTCTTCATGTTCACTCGAGTCGAAAAAAAAATTATTTAGGTACCGCTAGATTATTTTAAATTATTATTTCTTGATTTTGAATATTAATTTTGAAATTCTTGAGTCATAAATGGATGCAGTCATTTAGCTTAGTAATAATGGCGCATATGCCTAAGCCTTTTAGTAAATATAAGTGTCTTAGGTTTTTTTTTTAATGTTCTGATTGAGATTTTGCTATTTTTCTTAGTTTAACTGATGCAGTACTTATCAAGATTTCCGATACGTTAAAAAATTCGTTTTGTTTTTGAGATACCGCATTTTGGCTTAGGAAGGCAGTATATTAAAAATGAGAGTTTCACTGTTCTCATATCTGATACTTGAGGACTTCAGGAAGTCTTAATGTTCATGAAAAATATATTTTATAAAAAAATTTAATTTTTTGTACCCTACCTATTCGAAATCTTTAGTAAGTACATACATGTAAATTAAAATATGCACTTAAATTAATATTTAAAAATGCAACTTAAAAATTAGTGGCCATAAGTAAATAACTAGTGGCAGACTGATGGCCAAAAATAAAGAATTTCTTCCACTTTCATAAAAAAATGTAAAAAAGACTTACATGCTCTTAACCAAATAGATACATATACCGTTAAAAACTACATACTTCAACCTATCAAATAGTATTTTTATTTAGTTTTTTCAGTTACAATATTATTAAAAAATAGACCCCACAAAAGTATGTTTGCCTTAATGTGGCCATAAGTAGTGCCATTACCCTAGATTTCTATAAAAAATTGTAGACACAAACAGATGAAGGGTCCATGTGCATTCTTTTTTTTGCTAAATGAAGGGCTCATGAACCTAAAATAAATTCTGTTTTGATATTATTTCAAATAAAGCTGTTTCCAGTTGATAAAGGGATTATATTTTATATGGTGAACTATCCAAACAGGAACGAAAGTATGTTTCTGTTACAACTTTTATCTTCTATTATAATACATTTAATTTGTTACTGCACAGCAAGGTACATAAAACTACTGCCTGTATTTGCTTACTTGAATTGAATGGTAAAAAAGTAGAAATTATTTAAATTACATACTGTCAATTTTTGTTTCAATAACTCTAAAAACTAAAGCACCGTCTCCATCTGGTGAAATGGTAGATAAAGTAATATTATATTTTGTTGCTGGTAACAATGTAATAAGTTCTGTCTGAAATGTATTATTGGAATACAACCACTGTGGACTATACGGTGAGTAACTTGAGTAGGTATGTATCACAATAGCCCTTATCCTATATTTGGAGATTTCTACAAAAGATTCAGGTTCTTGCCATGTTAATCTAACATGACTCTCTGTAATATTGGATATTACAAAATTTTTTGGAGGTCCAGGCACTAGAAAGAAATAATTATTTTAATTAATTTTGTTTTCTAAAACATTTATACCATCCTAGCAATATCAAACCTTTGGTCCTTCTTTACTTGTGTCACCTTTTTTTTTTTTTTTTTTTTTTTTTTTTATTTATACGGAAACTCCATTTTTACAATTTTAGTAGAATAACAAAATATATCAAAATTTCATAAGTGATACTAACACATCAATATCACATTTATACCAAAACAACCTAATTTAATTTAGTTACATAATTTTGGAAATATGTTTTTTAAACTGATGAGATCTGAACTTAAAAGGATCGATATTATGTTCATTGTATAATCTACACATACGGCTGCATGTGTGAGCACCATTTACTATTTACTCCAATACAAGCAAAACAGGACCAAAGGTTTGATTTTGCCAGCACAATGAGAAGCGTGACTACTCAAATTACAGAATGTATCAACTCACTATTTTTATATGGACAAATGATATAATAGTCATTATACAAATGGAAAGATAGTAAAAGTGTAATTTGAGACGTCTATGAAATTTCAGGACAACATACCTAGATTTCCTGTAGCATAAGTGTCAGTTAAATTAATTTTAATGTTAGGGTTGCATGTCTCACACTCACTACAAGTGTCATTAGAAATTTGTTCTCCTAGATAGTTTCCACACATACAGTTGCCTTCATTATAGATAAAAGAGTATCTGAAAAAGGTGTTTATAAGAAAGTCTGTTAGCTATTTAATTTTAGTTGAAACTCACCTGTAGTACTTAGTAAAACATTCTTTGATACATTCTGTCTTTGACCTGTATTGTTCAATAGATATTCTCTTTCCAGGGGAAATATTATTATAGCAGCCAAGAAAAGTATTTTCAAGAGAAAATACGAAGTTTAACATAAATAAAACAAGCAAAACAGGTAAAATCTTCATAACTCTAATCAGTCTTAAGAATGGTATTTAATTTAAAAATTGAGTATTACTCATAAGTTAAAAATTCCAACCTCTCATTAATTGGCTTGTCATTTTTGGTCCAGTTTCGAACGTTTTCTGTGTTTAAAACAAGAGCAGCACGTTTGGCATTAGTTTTTTTGTTTGATCAATACCTAATATTTGGAAAAATAAATAGCCCAAATTCCTTTTCAGGCGAATTTAACTTTACGAATAATAGGTTATGTAGCGTTTTGACTTTGACAGCTCACAACAATCACAGACTCCGAGACTACACTACTAGATGGAGCGTGAAGCGCTGTGGTGAAGCGGGTTTGATAGCGATTGTTGTGGAAGTGAGAAACTGAGAAAGGGGACACAAGGGGGAAGGTAAATACACTTCCTGGTTCAGTGGCGTATCATTTCTCTGTAAGAATACACATTGTTCGAACTTTTTGATTGTAAAAAAAAATCTTGAAAAATTGACTAATTTTACTATTTTTAAAATGTATATCGTCTTATACAGTGTGTTCCATAAAGTTAGATATTATATGATTTTTTTAACATTACGATTGGAAAATAACGTCGTCAGACATTCAACTCTGCTTTTTTAAAACTTAAAATATCCTATATTAAAGTTAGCTAGGTACTGCATTAGTTATCTGTCAGTATTTTTTGAAAAACTGTTTAATTTTCTTTTTAAATGCTAATTTGACAGAAAACTAATGTCAGTAGCCAACTTTGATATGGACTATTTTAAGTTTTTAAATAAGCAGAAGCGATTTACCTACGACGTTTTTTCCAATGGTAATATTAAAAAAAATTCCCATATGAATCCAACTTTATGGAACACACTGTATGTTTGATGCAGAAAATAAAACAAAATCACCATAAAGGTATACCTAATAATTATAATATAAACTTCAAAATAAATGCCAAATCAATTTTATTAAAAATAAAAACAGGAGCGACTAGTTTCTCTCAGGGCCTCACACACGGCCTCACAGGCCTGTAATACAATACGATATTAAAATTAAATAGTATGTATAAGGGTCGATTCCACCGTTATGTTAAACGAAGATTAAATTACTAAACGAAGATTGAAATGACATTGTTAATGTAAAAATGTCATTTTAAACCTCGTTTAGGACCGATTCCACCGTTGTGTTAAACGGAGATTAAAATGACGTTGTTAATGTAAAAATGTAATTTTAAACTTCGTTTAACACAACGGTGGAATCGGTCCTTAGTAATTTAAACTTCGTTTAACACAACGGTGGCATCGGCCCTAAATTACTAAAATGGATCCATATTGTAGCATTACAGTATTGTAGAAATAAAGATGTGGAAAATGAAAAATAAATGAGCATTTCAAACTTAGATAACTAAAACGAAGAGAAATGAGTACGAAATCTACGAGAGTAAAGGTGAGAATGAGCAATTAGAAAGCATTTAATTTGCTCGGGGTAACAAATAAGGCCGATAATGTAAAGTAGTGGTATGTGGATAGTCCCCGTCAAAGAAGGACCGAATTTTTGAAAGAGGACTCGGCTTTTCCTCGATAAATTTTGATTGTGGATGTTTAAATAAGGCAGCACGTAGTGGCAACTTTATAGCTTTCGGGTGCGCTCGCCTACATTCGTATCAGTTCGAAGTTTTATAATATTAAATATTTATTCATCTAAGGACCGATTCCACCATTGTGTTAAACGAAGTTTAAAATGACATTTTTACATTAACAATGTCATTTTAATCTCCGTTTAACACAATGGTGGAATCGGCCCTAAAATATTATGGCATAGACAACAATAGAGATGAACTGTAATTTAAAATGTTTAAAATGAGGTGATAAATATTTATAAGGACAATGACTACAATATGTCTAATATTAGCATGGAATTTAGTTGCCTCTAATTACGTTGTCTAATAAAAAAGAGTATTTACCTTATTGACCTTTAAATAATATTAATTTATTATACATCGATCTCATGCTCTTGTTCCTGTCAAATATTTTTTTATTGTGTAAGAAATCATGAACTGTGATGTAGATAGATGCTACTAATTTTATTAAATTACCATAGTGGCAGCTTAAGGCGTAATGGTCTTTAACGTGAGTATCCAGTTTACAGAATACATTTCTATTCACTAAGGGTCGATTCCACCGTTGTGTTAAACTGAGATTAAAATGACATTGTTAATGTAAAAATGTCATTTTAAACTTCGTTTAACACAACGGTGGAATCGGTCCTTACATACACAGTATCGACTATCGAACTTTTTCATGTGAAAACTACAGAGAGATAGCATTATTGCAAGCAGGAATCGAATATTATCAGCACTGCCTGTTTATACGGCCCGGCCAACGTTACAACACGGTCGAGCTGAATAAACATCATAACATAACATAATTGAATGACACAAGAACTTACATAATTGCAGAGTTCAAACGTTAAGAAATACAAACTTTATCGTAATCAACCAAAATTAAAAAAAAATATGCTACGGCATTAAATTTTGAATATAATTAGCTTTCAAATGAAGTGCCACACTTTACAATAGGTAACAGTTTTGTATGCCGCTAGCAAAATCAAAAGTAATCCATAATGAATAGTCATATTGCCGAATTCTCCTTAAATTTATCTTTTCAATGACTTGTCATACTTGGCACTTTCTCTATTTAAATTGCATTGGTTAGAGTTAACGGAGTGGAGGGGAATGATGTATGACAGTTAGTATGATAAAAAGATGTCCTCCTTCAAAATACCCAAAAGCCCTATCAAGTTTTCGTTGGGTCACCTTGTATAGAGAGTATTTATATTAAAGAAAATTAACTTATAAATAATAACCTTTAAACAAAATATACATTAAATGGATCGATCCCATATTATTATAAAGAAATATTAAATAAATAGTTTTAAAAAAACTATTAAAACCAGTTGTGAAGTTTGAAACGAATAAATTGGTAATGAAATCGATATTTTTGTATTTGATTGTATGTTACTCTTTCCACTTCCTGAAAAAAGATTCTCCATAAACAGTTTATAATAATAACCTTTATTAAATTTGCTACATTTGGTACATGTTATACTAGCAATGACCAAGTCCGGTTCTGTTTATTTTCAAATAAACAAATATGGCCGTCGATAGAATCTTTAAAAATTAAATAATTCACCGAAATAAATGTAAAGTATCCTTTATCGCCATCACACTTCGCACTTTTATTAAATAAAGCTTTTTACAACATATCTTGGCATTTTCAACGTTAATTTCCAAAATTTAAGACTAAATAACAAATTAATTCTCGTTGGCACATTAAAATTGGACGAACAACGCTCTGACATGTGATATCCTCAACTGTGATTGGTCGGTGGGAATAATTTCGAAGTAGGATTATGCGCAGTGTCTTATGTTCTATCTACGGCTTGCATAATCTAAGGTTAAAAATCAAAGATTTGAGGTTATGTCTATTATTGTCGCGTTGTGATTGTCACATTTTATACATTTCCGCTTTTGTAAATTTGCATTTTGTAGCTCTTATAATGATTTGACAGTCTTAGTTAAATAATTAATTATTATACCAATTTACTAATATTTTAGTTCAATATATTTTAAACTTAATAATTACTGAGAAAAACAAAATGGTAAGCCAAAACTTTCCAGTTCTAAAAAACGACCGAATTTTAAAAGCAGCAAAGGGCGAGAAACCTGATAAATTGCCGATATGGATCATGAGGCAAGCTGGAAGATATTTACCAGGTAATTAAAACTAATTCATATTAAGATTATGTTGTTCTTGAGATGAAAATTGTTTTTTTTTGTTTATATAAGGTGAATACTGACTAGTAAAGTTTATGAATAAATAATACTCTAGTTCACATACAATTTGTTAAAAATATAATACGAGAGATAGCTACATGAATCTGGACACAAACAAAAAAAAAAGTATTTTATGTACATCCCCTTACCTAACTTAATTTAAAACTGAGGTGGAATTATAGAAATAGAAAGGATTTCCATGTCATTGAAATGTTGTAGTTTATACAGTGTGTCTATTTTAGTTGTCACTGTATAAAGCACAGTGTGTCTACCTACAGTTGAATCGCTTGATTTTTTCCCATGCCTCATCAATATCAGATATTATAAAACACATACACATACATTTTATCTAGCATCATCTTCTGTAAAATACAGGACCTGCGGGGTCCTTTGTAATATTTACATCTAACTCTGCAGTATGAAAAGCGGTTCTCAAGATACAGCTTTCAGTGCAACATAATAGATGGCACAATCACTGCCTGGTTAATGAAGGTTACCAGACATATGCGACTGGTAACGCAGCAAAGGTGTTAAGTGGTTTTTGATTTATACTTTGTTCAATAATTAATCCAAAATCCATTCTAACATGTGTATTGGATTTTTTGTATTTTAAAAATTTGATACTGACAACTTAGTTTATTTGTTTGAACCTGTTCCCTGTAAACAACCCTATTACTGTAGTGCCCTATTAGCATAGTGCTGCCATGCTTGAGATGGATATAATATTTTCACAGTTGCATGAAACTTTCTATTAGTAACTGATTTCTACCTATGAATTTTTTACTTATAGAGTTTATGGAATTCCGCAAAAAACATTCCTTTTTTGAAATCTGCCAAACACCAGAGCTAGCATGTGAGGTTTCATTAATGCCTATAAAGCGATATGATCTAGATGCAGCTATTATTTTTAGTGATATCCTGGTTATTCCCCAAGCATTAGGAATGACAGTTGAAATGAAAACAGGAGTGGTAAGATTATTTATTTATGGACTGAACCCTATTTTACAAAATATAAAATGCAAATATGTACAAATGTAATATACAGAATTTTATTTATTTTTTAACTAATTTATTTGATAGTACTTCTTTCTTCAATTAACTGTAGTTTTTTAAATTAATTTAACGTCTGCCTATTTGTAATTACGGGATATTAGTGAGCAAACTACCTCCATTTACAAGAAATTTAGCAGAATCGACTGTAGGGGTCTTTAACGAGCCCAACGCCCATGAACTCGGGACTGACGGCTTTACATCTCCTTTAAAAAAATGACACACGTCACGCTCTATCTCATACTCATTGATATAACGCCTGCCCGCTGTGGTATGCAACTAAGCAAGCAGTTTGGACGAACGCCAACTTTCATTCATCCAACTACTAACTGCACTCAGTCTGGCTTAAGTGCAGATATCGATACACAATAAGTGAACCTGCTAAGCTAGGCAGCTGCCCCAATTTATTGTACTTAATTTAAAAATAAATATTTTTTTAGGGACCCGTTTTACCTGAGCCTCTGACTGTGGATAATTATAAAAATTTGAAAAAAGAAGGTGCTGTTTCTAGACTAAAATATGTAGGAGAAGCAATAACCCTTACTAGACACAGATTAGAGGGAAAAGTACCATTGTTTGGATTTTCAGGTGCTCCTGTAAGTATTTTAAGTTGTGTATATTGCCGCGTTTATTGTTTTTTATGGTTCCCTAAATGAGCTGAGGTGTTAATTGTAGCTAGATGGTAGAACTTTAATGAAACATAATATTAATTAAAATTATTTATTTACTAAGTAAATTATCATATTAAAAAAAAGACAATCTTCATTGATTAATAATAAACATTAAACATTAATTAGGTACTCGCCAAGGGTACACCATTCTAAGAGGGATGGTGCTCGTGTCGTTCCTCAAAACCAAGTGATTATTTATTTTTAATATTTTATAAAGTTCAGATTCATGCACTTTTGCTTGATCAGGTAATTCGTTGAACCGCGTTTACTGCTGTCTTTGCAAGTTCAATGAATTTCCATAAAAGTATCAATTAATTAAGAAACCTGAATTTATACTTCCTCTTTAGAAATGATATCTTTAATTAAACTAAACATGAATAAGAAAAGTTTAAATAATAATTTAAAATTATTATATAAATATTTTTTACTAAATGAATAATTCTTTATCTATTTTACCTATAGTACATGAACCCTAAATATATTATTTGACAATATAAAAGAAAACTAAACAGCCTCTAATGTCCTACATGGAACTTATTGCTTTTAACTTTGGTTGAATGTCAAAAAATATAACAATAGTTTTTTGATTAAATCTTTTTTATTTGCTTTTTCTGCCTAGAAAAACTGTCTCATATTTTCCTAAGGTTAGTGTTATTCTTAGCTAGTTGACTTAGTTATACAGTGCTTATTTTATCGTGTTAGGCATACGACTAGTATATAAGTTCATAAAATGGCGACGAGGCAACAGCCAGTCGTCGGGTCGTCGACTAGAATTAGAAGATATGGTAGAGCGATACTAGCCGGACCGAATATCAGTCACAAAGCTAGCGATTACAGGGATATCATATTTGAAACATGTTCGCTGAGAAAGCACAGCTATGTCTAATACAAAATAATAAGTACTGTATATGTATCTTTGTTATACCAAAAAGGGAATTTGTTGCATTAATAAATATTTATATATTTGCCCTATCAGTACTTTCCTTTTTATATACTGTAGCAGTGAACAGCTTGGAGGTTCACATAAAGAATGTTCATCGTTCTACTCAGTTCCGCCTTTTTTGCGTCTCCCTCCCCCCATTTCCATAGACACAGACTCGTCTAGGGGTTTTTGAGAAGACTGACGTGTGAAAACGTATTAATTTTCTGTTTTAGTGGACGCTAATGGGTTACATGATAGAGGGAGGTGGTTCAAAAACACTGAGCAAAGCCAAAAAATGGTTGTACCAACACCCAGAGCTCTCTCACCAACTTCTACAACTATTAACAGAAGTTATTATTGAATATTTAGTCATGCAGATAGAGCATGGTGCACAAATAGTTCAAGTGTTTGACAGTAGTGCTGAATATCTCAATAAACATTTATACACCAAATTTTGTTTGCCTTATCTGAAGAAAATTGCCACAGGAATAAGGGAAGGAGTAAAAGGACTCAAAATCGAGCAGGTGCCTTTGGTAAGTTTTGTGAGATACCTGTTTAAGAAGTTTTATTTATTTTTGTTAAGGAGCACACTTTGGATGGCAAATACCTTTTTTTTTTAATAAAAAGTTAATAAAGAATCAACTTTTAAATGAATTGATTATTAATGGACCGAATATGAGGAAAAGAATAATTATTTCGAATCACAAAATATTTTAAATCTACTCTTCATCTACCTAGTTTTACATTATATATAAATATATTTGGAAATATACATTATTATCAATAAAAAAATATCCCTATATCTGTCAAATTATGTAATAACTATTTATATTTTAGGTATTATTTGCAAAAGGTGCCCACTTTTGTTTAGATGAACAAGCAACACTAGGATATGATGTTCTGGGCATTGATTGGACTATGAAGCCTGAATCGGTCAGAACTACGCTAAAAGATAAAAATGTTTCCGTTCAGGGTAATCTTGATCCTTGTGCTCTCTATGCTCCTAAAGAAGAATTGAAGAAATTGGTGATCGATATGGTTAAGAATTTTGGTACTGATAGATACATAGTTAATTTGGGACATGGTATTTATCCAGATGCCCCAGTTGAAAGTGTTCAAACTTTTATTGATACTATTCATTCTATTGATTTGTAATTAAAATAGTTTTGTTATTGCCTTTATTTACTGTTTAAATAAATTATAACCAAGTAGTTACAGATTTGTGTTTTTTTTTAGAATGTTCTTCTTCTATGATTGTAATTTTGGTGTTTATTATTTGAGAATCATTTTCTTATACTACAGCGACGTTCTTTTTATAATTTTACTAATTATCAATACAAATACCATATTTCATTCCCTTCACTTGGGTCTTTTATGATTAAAATATGTCGAGAAGTTACGTTAACGATTTCCTTTACCAAATGCAAACTTAAATTTATAATCCCTAAAAAGTAAAATGTTAAAATTTTTATTTCTAAATTTAATGTCGCAAACCATTTGTATTTAGAGTTAGTATGTTGGTTCATCAGTAGATAGGTATTTGAGATTATAGTTTTTCATGGCCAGAAGGAGTTGGCTGACTTTAGGAGTAATTAAACTGGAACTTTAATGTGTGTATTTAGAATTGTACTATCCACCAGCTATTAATAAAAAGAACATAAATACGTCTGTTACAAAATTTGACTCATCTGATTTTGGACGAAACGTATACATATATTAGAAGACACCTACGTTTAAAGAAACTACACTGCAGTTTTCATTTTTTGCAAGTTGTTGAGAAGTACTAACCTACTACTTTTCAACGATTTAACCTAGAGAGAAACGGACTTCATTTTTTATTATTTCCGATGGCATACTATCCGTCTGAATATTTACAGCTCAATGGTAATTTTTCACGAAAAAAGCAAATATGTTTTAAAATAAAAAATCCGATGTATCCAACAAATGACTTTCATGTCTAGTTAATAAATGCTTTTTCCGGATATTTTGTACAGCCTATTGTATCACCCCTGTAAATGTTTAGAGGGCATACATTTTCCACACACATCTTAGTCGAAACGTTTTTTTATATATTCATTGCCAATGAAAAATTAAAATTTTACATTTTTTTCTCAAATTTTTCCATGACTTCATTTTAGAAAAATCATGTATAGAATAAAAATTATAGAGAATGATATCGCAAACAATTTTTATTTGAACAATTTTCTTAAAAATTCGAAATTTGCACTTTTTGTCAAATTTCTCGAATACGGATCATTTTAGGAAAATTATGTATAGGACAAAATTTATACAGAATAACATTACAAACAATTTTTATTTGAAGAATTTTCTTCTCCAAGCTTAAATAACAGATATTACATAATAAAGAAAAACGACTTACCAAATGTTTCGACTGTCCAAAATTTAATCAGTTCACCGCACGATTAAAGCTTAAATTTAAAATGTGTTTCTATTTATCCATTTTTGAGTTGTCTTCAAAATTTGTACTTTTTCTCTAATATCTCGAATACAGTGCCATTTAGAGAAATTATGTATAGGCAAAAATTAAAGAGAATGATATACACAACTTTTATTTAAGCAATTTTCTTAAAAATTTGAATTTTTCGAATACGGACCATTTTAGGAAAATTTTGTATAGAACATAAATTATAGAGAATAGATTGGATTTAACAGGAGTTGCACATTATTTGCTTATTTGTCCACTGCGACCTTTTCTGATCTATTATGGGGTATTTCGATATTTTTTTAGACTTATGGCCAGTATTATAAAACATTTTAGTTAACAAGTAAAATTTACTCTCCTATTATAGTATTTAACTTTACAGATTTTCGTATTATAAATCATGGTTAAATTTTTAAATTTACTTGCTTAGTAAAACTACAAAATAAAATACTCCAAGATTTTCTATCATGTAAATTTTACTTGTGGGTTATACTGACAGCAAAGTGTGTGATGGATGTCACCTTAAATTTTGTATTTATCAAAAAAGAACTGTTAATAGTTAAATTACTCTTATCTTATTACATTTGTGATCATGTCTGTATCTTTAGTCTCTTCCGAGTCAGTATCAGACAATACCTTGTCTACCATCAACTGATAAAGAAGAAGCCATACGAGCTGAGCCGAGACAACGATGACAGAGTTTTTAGATCACGACCAAGGCCATTTGAATTGTATAATAAGGAAGAATTTAAAATTGCCCGCTCATTTTGATTACTATAAAGAATTGCGAAATTATACTTCTTCAGCTATTAAAAGGGAAAAAAGAAAAATTAAGAATACATTTAAATACCAATAATATTTTGCCTTCTCATCAGTCTGGATTTAGAGCTGGTTATAGTTGTGCAACAGCCTTGGCTGCTGTTACTGATGATATAATTTCGGCCCTTGATAAAAATGAGCTGGTTATTTTAATTGACTATTCTAGGGCATTTGATACTATAAATCACCGGATTCTATTGGCAATTTTACATTTTGTAGGGTTAAGTGCTTCTGCAATAAAATTTTTATCGTCTTATCTCATTAACCGAACTCAACAAGTTAAACCTGGTCAAAAATTATTTAATATTAAAGAGATAAAGCAAGGTGCTCCCCAAGGAAGTATTTTAGGACCGCTTTTAAATTCCATTTATACTTCGAATTTACATACTTGTTTAAATTTTGGTAAGTATAATCTATATGCAGATGATATTCAGCTGTATTATTCTTTTAAAAACAATGACATTTTAGATATTAATGATAAAATTAATCAAGACCTTTCTACACTTACAAATATCTCAACTAAGCATAATTTAATAATAAACGCGAAAAAAGCATCGGCCATTCTTTTTGCAAATGAGGCCCAAAAAAGGCAAGCTCTTAATCAGCTAACATTGAGGTTAAACAATGAAAGCTTAATATTTTCTGATGTTTGCAAGAATTTAGGATTATGTATAGATTCAAAATTGAGATTTAAGAAAGACATATCGAATAGAATCCGTAAAGCTCATTTTTAATCAAAGAAGCTACTTAAAACCTTGTGTGAAACCCTGGTTTTATCTCATTTTAACCACTGTGACGTAGTATACGCCCCTTGCTTAGATAATTGTGATATGCGCCGTATTCAAAAATGTCAAAACTCTTGTCTACGGATGGAGATGTGGTGGAGATTTCAACGTAGATTTTTTAAATTTTGCAGACCATTATGTCGATAAACTAATATCAGTTTTAAATTATTTTGACATATGTCAAATTACAGATTCTCCAACTAGAGTTACTTCAACTACTGCTACTCTTTTAAATGGAATTATTACTAATTCTGACTGGGTGGTGGAGAGGGGTGTTATTCATACAGATGACAAAACCTCAAATATTTATATTTCAGATCATAAGCTACCTTTTTGTAAATTGAATTTAGTAATGGAGAGCAATGGGCCCAAAATGGTAACATATAGATGTTTTAAATACTTTAATGAGGATAATTTTAAAGTCGACTTGTTCAATACGCCATTTTTTTTAATTTTTAATCAAAATACTGTTGACGAAAAAGTTTCGCTGTTCGTAAACTTGTTAATTAATCTTTATGACAGGCATATGCCTATCAAAACTACTAGAACAACTAAAGCTAAAGCTCCATGGCTGACGGGTGCTATAAAAGAAATGATGGCAATTAGAGATAAAGCCCTTATTAGGTATCGAAAAAGCAAATCGAATGCTCATCTGCAATTTTATAAAGATATGCGTAACTATACCAACGGGGCAATAAAAAGAGAAAAGCGTGCTTTTTTTACTTCACAATTTAATCAAAAAGATTCGCGTGATTTCTGGAGGCTCCTAAAGTCAAACAAATTAATACCTGAAAAAATTATAATATTCCTGAAAATCTTAAAAATCCTGAAAATGTCTTCATACAACGTCTAAACTGTTATCTTAAATATTAGAATGGTTAATTCGTCTATTTATATCTTGAGGGCGTTAATCAGTATATTTAATCTAAATAAAATTCAATTCCTGTAGAATTATAAACACTTGTCCAAGAACCCATTTTAGTGCTTGTAGGGTTTAAAAAGTTTTTAAATTTGTTTGTCTTAATTGTTCGTCCGTTCGTGAAATATTTTAATAATTTTAATTAATAGTTTTAGACCTACTTTTGTTTATGTGTTTTGACATCAACTTTTTGTTGCAACTATTGTTTTTTATATTTTTTTATGTATTTTAAAAAATACTCGCATACTTGTTTTTACACCGACCCTGGGATAATTCTCTTAGCTTATATAGCCTATAAATAGATGAGTAATTACGGGTGAGTTCTTGATATTTGACAACTTTCATATTAAAATGTTTAAACCCACTTTATTAGTTATGAGCTCATTCGTTTTTCCTCTCTATTTTTAGACCTTACCTGATGATGAGGATCTGATCCTCGAAACCGGTCGTAATAAAATACTCTTGTGAGATCCTAAGGACCACCCTCGTTTGATTTACCTTTTTGTAAATATATACATTTTCTACATACATCTACTTCGAAACATTTTTCTATAGATATTCATTGAAAACGAAAATACTAAAATATTTAAATTTAGCACTTTTCCTACAATTTTTCCATTACGGTCCATTTTAGAAAAATCATGTATAAATAAAAATTATAGAGATCGATATCGCAAACAACTTTTATTTCAACAATTTTCATAAAAATCAGAATTTTGCACATTATATCAAATTTCTCGAATACGGACCATTTCAGGAAATTTTGACATAAAACAAAAATTATAGATAATAATATTAGAAGTAACTTTTATTTGAACAATTTTTTTCTCCAAACATAAATAACAGATATATTCCATAAAATATAAAAACGGCCTCCCATAAAATACCCCCCAGATGTTCCGACTTTGTCCAAAATCTAATCTGTTTACGTCAGGCCAAAGTCCTGATAAAGCGGCCTTTTTTTCTTTAATTTTGCCTTTAAGGGTCCTCGAAGTACATTAAAATAGTACTCCCCTGTTACTGTATGTCCTCTAGGTACAATGTGATCGTAAATAACGCCAAATTTATCAAAAAAAATCAGGTGCATCACTTTACCAGCGCTTTTAGCAGTTTTGGACTTCTGCGGTCTTGGGCTGCCTTTATGCTTCCATTGCATACTTTGAGACTTCAATTCAGGATCGTAATGATAAAACCAACTTTCGTCACATGTAACCACATTATTTAAAAACTGTGGGTTACGTTGCAATTGCCTTTTCCACT